GGTCCATATATTGATTCTCAGTCCTTTAGCTTTCTCAAGGACCTTTGTCAGGGTAATTATTGAAGAAAGTAGTGGCCCAGAGTCCAGAACTCTGTTGGTTGTTGTGACAGCATATCCCGAGTATTGGGTGCTGCTTACCATAGAACTGCTTCCATCTGTGAACCAGTCATGGGCTCCCTCCAATGGAGTGTCTTTTAGGTCTGGACAGCTGGAGTACACTGCTTCAATAGTCTTTGAGAAGTCATGTTCCACAGGCTCCCCTTGGTTGCCATCTAGGAAAGAAGCTGGGTTGACAATATTAGTCACCACTATCTCTGTGTTGTCTAGTTCTACCATGATAGCCTGGTATTTCAGGAACCTCTGTGGTGACAACCAGTGGCCACCTTTAGCTTCCAAGACTGCCTACACTGTGTGAGAGACAAGCACGGTCATTTTCTGGCCCAAGGTGAATTTATGGGCCTCCTGGATGTTCAAGATAGTAGCTTCCACTGCTCTGAGACAACCCGGCCATCCTTTGCGGTCTCGTCCAATTGCTTGGAGAAATAGGCCACAGCTCTTCGATAGGGCCCGAGGTCCTGGGCTAGGAGTTCCAAAGCAATTCCCTGCTTCTCATGAGAGAATAAAAGGAAAGGTTTACTCACGTCTGGGAGTCTGAGCACGGGTGCTGACATCACGGCTCTTTTCAAGTCTGTGTAGGCCCTGGTCACTTCTGGGGTCCATGTCAGTCTGTTCTCGCATGCGCATGCCGTCCAGGCTATACAACCTTCACTGGTCTACATGGCGACAAGCAGGTCATCTACATATTGAAGCACCTTGGCTTTGTCAGGTGGCGGGTCCCAGCTTTCAAGATTTTTTGTTAGTTGATTACCAAATATCGTGGGACTGTTCTTAAATCCTTGAGGCAACACCATCCAAGTTCATTGAGTTTTCGGCTGCTTTTGGGATTTTCCCATTCAAAAGCAAATAGTTTCTGGCTAGACTCGTGGTTAGGGAGGCAAAAGAAGGCATCCTTTAAATCTAGAACAGTTATACAGGTTAATTCATGGGTCCTGGTAGTAAGCAAGGTATAGGGGTTAGCCACTAAAGGATATAGGTCCTTCGTTATTTTGTTAATTGCCCTCAGGTCCTGTACAGCCTGGTGATATCCACCTGGTTTCTTAATTGAAAGGATAGGGGTATTAAAGGCAGATTAACATTCCTTCAGCAACCCCTGGTCCAAAAAAATTTTTCAATAGGGGGCTGAATACCTTCCCAATCCTCTCACTTTAGAGGATATTATTTTATCCTTATCTGCTTTAGTCCCTCTTTCAATTTCACTATAACTGGTACAGCATTTTCAGCTTATCCTGGTATTCCCGTTGCCCATACTCCTGGGTATACCTGGTCAGTAATTTCCTTGCTGATTTCTCCTTTTATTGGAAGATCTGTTAAAAGTAAACTCATTATTTGTACATATTGTTGATCGTTTACCTCCAGAGTAACTTCCCCATTCTTAAACTTAATTGTGGCCTGCAATTGTTCCAGGAGGTCTCTTCCCAAAAGGGCTTTGGGCGAATCCGGCAAATATAAGAATTTGTGAACACCCATTTGTTTTCCCAATTTATACTTTAGCAGCTTGCAAAAATAGGCTCTCTCAGTTTGGCCAGTAGCTCCCTTTACTATAACATGTTCTCCTAGGGGCATCAAGGACTGATTAAGAACCGCATAGGTTGCTCCTGTATCCATTAAAAATTCTACTTCCCTTTGTTCTTTCTAGGAACAACATTAACTGTAGAAGGGTGTTATAGTCTGGGGTCCCATTTAGTGGCCATCTTGCTTCATTTTCCAGTTTATAAAGTGGCCACCACTGATTGCAGTACTCAGTAAGGGTCTTTTTACTTTCTCTGTCCCTAGACCCAGCGATGTCTTTCCAATGTGCTAATATACATCCTAAAGGGCTTTTCTTTAGGATTTATTTGTCTTGGGTATTTCCCATTTTTGTTCCTGCTTTAATCTTATGTGAAATTGATATGTTACCACAAAAACAGCGACAAATGACCACAGCAATTATTATTCCAGCTACCACCCCACCAACAGCTAAGGATATCCAACTCAGCATATCAGTCTCATTTGCTTCGTTCATCTCCTGGCCACTCTCCTCGCAGAGAACACAGAACCGCAGATCAGAACTCCGCACTCGCTTCGCAGCTGCGCTGCGTCTCACTCACACCCTGCAGGCACACAGGGACGCAGTCACACAAAGGGCCCATCACACTTTTCACTCACAGCACAAAATGCATCAATTTAAAACAACAGCCAAGCTCGTATGTAGCATAAATCATAAACTATTAACCATTTTCCACAAGTACAAAACTGACTAATGTGAATCAGCACACAATGCACAGTACCGGATGCAAAAACTTATTTCAATTTCCGTGGGTTACAACAGATGACAGGAATGATAGCTATCCCACTTGCATACTGCCCTTAATAAGGGGTCCTCGCCAGGACTTCACTTGCGTACTGCCCTCCTGCCCTAAGGAGAATTTTCTGCAAGTCCTATGTAATGCCCTTAATAAGAGATTCCCACAAGTCCGGGTCAGGGCAGAGTAGGAGTGCTCTGGCAGGACTTTATTACAGAAGGCAAACTATCTCTTATATGCCAATCATTGATAGTCTCCCAAAGCCTGCCCCTCACTCCTGTTACCACTCTAGACAGAGCCCTTCCCGGGGCACCTTAACCAGACTGGGTACCCCACCTTGGGACTACGCTGTGCGCCAGACGTCTCTGCGTGCCTTACCAGCAGCCCATTACCCCGTAAACATACCTTTGTCTGCAGTTTAGATGGCTCTTGTCTGCTCCTGCAGTGAACATCTGGGAGCGGAGTTCCTCCGAGAATTCTCAGGCCACAGCTAGGACGTCTGTTCCTCAGTGGTTCCGGCAGCCGAGCAGAGAGAGTGCCACCTGGGGTGCCAAAATGAGGCGCGGAATCACGACTTTAGAACCAGTAAGGTTATAAAGCAGGTATGTTTATTCAGCACTGGGCACACGGGGGAATCATTTCCTCCAAATGCACATGCGGCTTGGAGCCAAAAGCGGCTCCTTCTTATTACGTAGACTGTTACATATGTATCACAATTCCAGGAATAGGGAGGGAATATTACAATTAGTTCCTAGAAATCCTTAACATATCCCCCACCCCAAGACCCCCTGGCGCCGACCCTCCCCTAGCAACTCCCATGTTATCAGATAAATGGCATGTCTTAACAAAACACAGGGCATGTCCCAACAAAGGGCAGGGCATGTCTCAACCCCCAGGAGCAATGTTTCCTGGGGGTGGTGGGTGGGAACCATCTGGTTAATGTTTCCTTAGATCAGCTTTGTTTAACTGCGTATTTTCTTGGAATCCAGCATTTTTTTTACTCTCTTATGGCCTAGAACAAGGATTTGGCGGGATGCCAATTGCAGCATGGCATGCCCCCAACACAGGGCATGCCCCAACAAGCAATCTTAACAGAGAAAGGGCATGTCTCAACCCCCAGGTGCAACATTTCCCGGGGGGGGGGGGGGGGGGGGGGGGGGGGGGGGGCGGCATCTGGTTTACTTAGATCACTTCCTATGGGCTTTTGAGCTCATATTGAGGCACAGAATCACAAATTTACAACCAGTAAGGTTATAAAGTAGGTATGTTTATTCAGCACTGGGCACAAGGGGGATGACTACTCCACCACAGGCGTGCGCCACCTGGAGCCAAATGGGCTCCCTTTTATTGTCTAAAATGTTACATATTCATCTACTCTAATACGTATGCATCACTACTCCGAGGATAGGGAGGGAATATTACAATTATATCTGAGAAATCATTCACATATCGTCCCACCCCAAATTCCTCCCCGTCGCTCTTGCGCAGTGCTTCCTGGTGGTCATGGGCAGGGGTCTTCAGATGAAGGGTCGTAGTCTTCAAGGTTTTTGCTAGTTGACCCTTACTGCTATGCAAACTCAGTCCTGTAGTCAGGTACACCTTGTCCTTCAAGTCTGGGCTAATTTGCAGCTCCTTTGTCTTTATGGCTCAGGGGTTCCTCTCTTATCTCAAGGACAAGAGATACCAGAAAGGGCCTATCCTGTCTTCCTTCCATTCAATCACAAGGGACTTACCATCCTTTGATATGGACCATCAATGGCTCATCTTGTTATTTCTCATTCCATTGCAAAGGAGTTACCATCCTTTGATGGAGGCCATCTGGTGAGCATCCCAAGAAGGGGGGGCGGGGTGGGGTGTCAGGTTAGTGTGAGCATCCCCTGAAGGAGGGGGGCTATTGGGTTAGTGTGAGCATCCCAAGAAGGGGGAGGCTATCGGGTTAGTGTTTCCTCAGATCAATATTTTAGCAGCTTGTTGGTTAAAACTGAAAGGTCATAAGAGTTTCAGTCACATGATTGATGACTCAGTCTATCATGTTATAAATTCCAGTGAATCAGCAGGAAGCAAACAGTCCAGAGTTTATCTGCATGTAAAATCTTTAAACATGTTTGTCATGGTTTCTCTAAAAAAAATAGCCTGACTTCTATGCTTTTGTTAATGGGTAACTCCAGTAACCTTTTGATAATTTGTCTACATGCTTTCCAGTGGAGAATATTAGTCTGGCAAAGTTCTGATCTTACGGATTTCCAGCACTACAGAACAACCAAGACATTGACTGCTTCCAATTTTTGCAAATACTTACATAGAAATTGGTTTTAACTGTTGTTTTCCTATAAATTATTGTCTCCTAGGTATTCAGACTGAATTGCTTGGAAACCAACTTCTGTTTTAGGTTTTCTATCTTAGTTTCAGTTTGAGATTTTTTTGTATAAATCTTAGTGCTTGCATGCAACTTTGAAAATATGAAAGATAGTTGGCTACAGAAGAAACTTATTAGCAAATAAGCTCTTCAAAAAGCAAACTGTTCTATGAGCAGCAGAGCTGATGAAGCCTACTTTCTGCCAGATTTATGCTTTTTCTTTCTCCTCCTTCCCTCTGCAGTGCCGTCCCTGTCTTCTACCTCTTTTGCTGGCCATGGAGCAGCACATGCCCTGGCTGGTGTTGGAGCTGTGTACTGACTGGCTGCTACCTTTTGGAGTGGTTAAGATGTGAGTCTTAATACCTACCTTTTCTACATAGCAGATACTGATTTGGGTATCTTCTGCCAGCAGCTGGTTGTTTTGGGGTGGGATTGCGTTGGGACTTGAAGAAATTTGGTCTTCAGTCTGTTTTCAAATTTGATAGAAGTTAGCCAACAGATTAGAAGAACAACCAGCTGAGGGAGTAATCAACAAGAATCTCTGCTAACTGTAGTTTAGTGAATTCTTGTTAAACTGTTCTTGGGTAGGGGAATTGTAAAACAGCTTCCATTTAACAATAATTTGTCTTTCCACTTTTTTTTTTCTCCACTAGTTTGTCTATGTGTTTTCAGCTTTTTATCCTCTTTCTTTACTCTGTGAGACCTCCAATCTGATATGTGAGTGGATATGCTCCAATGTAGAGACCATAGTGCTGGACCACTGAACTGTAACCGCAGCCCAAAGGCTTGACCATAGCCACAATACTTAGAAATGCCATAAGGACAGAAACTTTTAGAAGCTGCTTTTGCCTGCAGGTTGGAGTAGATGACCTCCTTAAGTCACTTCCAACCCCAGGTAGCCTGTCATACTGTGATCCTATTCCTAGTCAGAGCAGCATGTTTACAGTAGGACAAAGGGTGAGCAGGTAGATCCAAATTCCAGCAAACTCCCTGCCTTCATCCATCTCCATATTGATTGTTCAGATTGACCACTGTACCTTCTTCCTACTGACTTTTGTGGGGTAGGATTTTTTTATTTTATTTTTTCTTATTTTAATGCCTTTGCAGAGAAATTTTCAAGGTTGATAATTTTTAAAGAAATGCAATAGTTTTTTATTGGAGATGCAAGGTGCAGATTTATGAAGCTATTATTTGTTTTGAAAGTATCTGAATAGTCTTCAGTCTAACTCTGACATAAGTGGTAAGCAAGTATCATTAGAGGTTTAATACACAGCTATCACACAAATAGAAAAGCATGGTAGGGTGTGGGCTAGAATAAGAATTCTTGCTCCATCTTTTTCAGTGTTAGGACTACTGACACTAGAATTTCCTGAGTTTGTGGCCCTGAAACAGAAAGTCTTGATAAACTTTAGAGTATCTGTTGAGGAGTTTGGTATATCTGGTTTTGCAAAGATCATTGCCATCTTTTCTTTAAGATGTTTTATTTTCACCTTTGAGAATTTCAGCCGTATAGAAACCGTTTGTTTTTTTTTTTTTTAAAAAAAAGGGAAAAAAAGACTACTACCAAACCATGAATCTTTACCCTTCCAATATCTTCCATTAGTCTGTTTCAACATTTTAAGTCCTATCAAGCAGCTATATATAGTTATATTCCTGATATTATTAATGTAATTTATTTCTGTATAATATTATCCTCAATTATTGGATGGGAACTTTGCAATATAGTTAAAATTAGTAATGTATTATAGGAACACCGATATTTTAGGCTGTATACAGATTGGCAAGATTTACATACTTGTCAGAAGTTAATAAAAGTCAACCTACTTTTCAGTACGTTTAGATCGAAAGAGAAATGTTACCTTTCTCATTCTGAAAACATAACGTGGAGGATAGAGGCATGATGTGATTATTGTTTAGTTAACAGTAGACTTCATGTCTGAAAGAGATTGGTTTAATTTCTGAAGCCTTGCAGTTGGACAAAAGTTTTGTCTAGTACCCTAGACAGAAGCTGTGACAATCAGATTAACTGTAATTTCAAGGCCATAAAAAGTTGAGAATGGGAATTCTTGGGCTTTTTTGGAGAAGAGTCTCCATATAGATGGCTTTTTTGATTTGAGTTGTCTTGTTCTCTAGACAACTCTGTGGTGTTCTAACAAAAGCCAATCAGCATCCTCTCTATGTTGTTTATAGAGCTTCGGATTAAATACAGTATGAAAAAGAATTCCTTGCTCCTAAGTTCGTTAGGTTTGGATGTCTGTGTCCCTCTCCCTGTATATACTTTTTTCTGATAGTGTTTTTATTTTTTTCCGCTTTCCACTGAGTAGGTTAGCTTTTAAATAAACAGTTACAGACAGGACCAGAAGTTTGATTAAAATATAACTGCATGTAGAATATGAAAGTATCTGATGCTTTTAAAATTTGTTATGAATTTAAATTCTTCTATGTTCAGTGATCTGTTATCTATTAAGGACAAATTTTATGGAGACAGTCTGCTTGGCGCTGATTTAACTTCTTGCCTATATGAATTGTTTTAAGGACTGTATGAGCTAGCTCTTAACTGAAGATGTCAATTGGAACTATAATTTTTATACTGTCATTTTTATGTGAGAAATATTTTTTTTTATTTCTTGGAGTGTGTGTGAAAAATGAAGTTTAAAAGTTTCAAATGGATATTTTATTTGTGTAGCTACCAGCCCCTTGGCAGATTTTGTCCCTGTTAGAGAACTTAGTACCTAGCATATTCAGAAACACCTCTAGAACTGCACTGGTTGCCTGTGCTTTACCCTGCAACATAAAGAACATACCATTTTAACTAATTTAGCTGAATACAAATGTAGTTTACAGGCATAGAGGAAATGTAGCCAACACACTGACATCAATGAACTGGGAATGATATGCAGTGATATGGCTGATCCCCAGTTATGGTGCAAGACGTGATTGAGTATGCACAACGGAAGCATCATTTTGAAGACACTGAATGAAAAATTACAGTAGGCAGAAAAGCAAAGAAATGTTTTCTGGAAACAAACCTGAGATAGAAATTTAAAGAACTCATGATTGTATGTGCTGTAAAAGTGTTTCCCATTCTGTAATTCAATAAACTATCTTTGAAGTATTATAATCATGCCTTTTGTTTATCATGTAACATATGGTCTCTTCTTTTTCAGATCAAATTCAGTTACCCAGGAATATGATTGAAAATAGTATGTTTGAAGAAGAGCCTGATGTGGTTGACTTGGCAAAAGAGCCTTGTTTACATCCCCTGGAGCCTGATGAAGTGGAATATGAACCAAGGAGCTCCCGGCTCTTGGTGCGTGGCCTTGGAGATCATGAAATGGATGATGATGAAGAGGATTACGAGTCATCAGCAAAATTGCTGGGGATGTCCTTCATGAACAGAAGCTTGACTCTCCAGAATAACATGTCTGTCTATAGACAAAATCCAAATGGATTATGTTCAGTGCCTTCTACAAGGACCATGGTGGTTTGCACAGTTGTTCTTGTGATTGCAGTTTCATTAATAATGGCAATTTATCTTCTTCCCAAATGCACCTTTACCAAAGAAGGCTGCCATAAAAAAAATCATACAATGGAGCTAATATACCCTTTGGCAACCAATGGAAAACTATTTCCATGGGCAAAAATTAGGCTTCCTCCTGATGTTGTACCACTGCATTATGATCTTCTTTTGCAGCCAAACCTAACTACTCTGAAATTTGCAGGCTCTGTAAACATAGTGGTTAATGTTATTCAGGTAACTTGGAAGATTGTACTTCACAGCTCAGGACTTAACATCACCAAGGCAACCATTACTTCATCAGAAGGGCATCAAGCAAAGCCAGTTGAATTCCTGGAATATCCACTGCATGACCAGATTGCAGTCATGGCTCCTGAGGCTCTCCTCGTAGGCCAGAATTATACTGTCAACATAGAATATTCGTCTAATTTATCAGATACCTATTATGGCTTTTACAAAATTTCTTACAAAGATGAGAATTCTAAGCAAAGGTATGCCCACAAATGCAGCTTCTCTCCTCTGTCACTTCTAGATTGTGCTTTGATAATAGAAATAACAATAGTTCCTTTTTCTGTTGGATGTTCCGTTCAACTGATTATTATTGAGCAAAATCAATCTTTAATCTCCTGATTAACCTACCTGAAAAAAGTCTTTCATGAATGAGTTCATCAAGTCAGGTCAGCCTCTCTGTCAGTTAAATGTAGTTCAGTATAGTGGTTTTAGATATCTATAGTGTGGCTTTTTGCTTGCTTCATTTTTAGTTTCTCTCTTTGGAAATTATTCCCACATCTCTCAAGTCCCTGAGTCTCAAGGCAGGGACTGGTGGAATAAAATCCCACCATTGTAGAAGATTGGGTTCAAGACCACCTGAGGAACCTGAACATACACAAGGCCGTGGGACCCAATGAGATGCATCCCACAGTCCAAAGGGAACTGGCAGATGTAGTTGCCAAGCCATTCTCAATCATATTTGAAAAGTCTTGGTATTTAAACCAAGTTCTCAATGACTGGAGAAAATGTAAACACTACACTAATTTTTAAAAAGGGTAAATCAGTGCTTTTTGCCAAGAAGATTAAAGAAATGGCCATCCACTTCAACTGGGCCTTACATTGATCATGTACTTAGATCACGTACACTGATCATGTACTTAGAGTGTTCATACCTTTGTTGGCACATAATTTTCCATGAAGGTTTTCTAGAAACAGAGCAGTGCAATAAATGAAAGATGGAAAAAGAAGCATGGGTCAGTCCAGGACCAGCTGACAGGAAAATAGTTTTGAAGGGCCCATAAAATGACTATTAAATAAAGACATGAAACACTTACCAGCTTGTGTTACTTAGCTTGTGATAAGATCTAAAGCTTAAGAAAAAAAAAAAAAAAGTTTAAATGGGATATGAAGGAAAAAGCATCTTTGCAACAACCGGGAGTTTGTATGTAAATTTCCAAAATAATAAGTAGATTTTGTTTCCTGAAAGGGGAAGGTGGAATTTACAATTAGCACCACCAACCCAACCTTTTACAGACTGACAATATAGTCTTGAAATTATTCTCTGGAAAGAGGATCACTCTGAGATTGTATTTATTTTCAGTTACTTAAGACCCTTTATTGAGCTGTTGCAAACTTTTTCAGTGAGACTCTTTGAAGAATAAAAGAGAAGTATGGCAAATATGGTAATAATTCTCTCTTCAGTGAGGCATAATAACTATATGCTGCTAATATTTGAAATTTTTAAGTCCTTCAATGATAGCTCATCTTTTAAACAAACAAACAAACAAACAAGATACTCAGTGTAAAGATGATTTCACAGTCTGTTAGGAAGCTGCATAACATAAGAAAGATGTATTTCTATTCTGTTTTATAAACAAAACCCTAGGATATTTTGTTTCAGATTCAGTAGGCCTCTTAACAATAGACATTAACATAATAGACATGTTAATAGGCCTATTAGCAATAGACATTTAAACCAAAACTTTATTTTTCTAAAAAATAAAGTAAACTTTATTTTTCTAAAGTTTACTCACAGTTTGCCATTAAAATTCCCTTTATCTAGATCCTACTGGGCCTATGACCTAGTGCTGAAGTGTACAAGAAAATAAGTTAACTGCAACAGTTGTTTTCAAATATATGCAAAACCTGGTGCATTCAGATGAAGTGTGGAACAAAAAGTGGGTTCTTGAAGTGGTCAGCACCTGAGATAAGGCATGAACTCTCCTGTTCACTCCAGTATCTCTCCCTGTTGGTCCTCATGTGAGTTAGTCTAAGGGGCTTTCTTTAACAGATTAAGAATTTTAAGAAATTTATTTGGGTTAAAGGATTGTTGATTTGTTTCAGTTTGCTTGCATCTCTGATGAAGGTGGCTGCGTTTTAATGAGGTATAAATATAGAGTTTTTTGCAAATCAGTTCAGATCCCCCAGATAAAATGCTGTTGATAAGCCTCTTATGAAAGGGCTATTCCTGGGCCTATAATAAAATCTTGCAGTGTATTCATGATCATTGGAGAGAATCTGTTGCCACTTGGGAAACTGCTGACAGGATTCAGAATTCTGTCATTATAACAAAAATGCCTCTCTGTTGTGGAATGCATTGGATAATAAAGAATCACAAAGGGTATAGATTGCATCAGAAGAACATAACCACAAGATGAAATGAAATAGAGCTAAATATTTTATCACAAACATTAAAGACATGCCATGAAGTAAATGGGAGTAAGAATACAGTAAGTGAAGAAGGCAAAAATCACTTGAATAATTATCCTCTTTTTGAATTTCTATGTTTTTCCTATTCTGATGTAGCTGAAGCCTTGTTTTCTCCTTCTATTTGCTGTAGTAGAAAGAGAATGTGTAAGTGTTCACAGAGGAAAAAGGTGATCTGTCAGTAAGTTTCTGAGTTTTTGTCCCCCTTCAGTCCAGTGCTACCTGCTTTTGGTCAGGAACAAGATATAGCACATGATTTAACTTGTATGATTTTCAGTAAATCCTTTTCAGATGACTCTTTGATGATACCTTAATTTCCGTTGCCATGCCTGCCTCTTCTATTTCCTAGGGCTTTGTCTCTGTATACTTACCGACAATAGTTTTACAAATGCAGGCTACTTTGACAACCTTTGTTGTTGCTGCATTTTCTGTATAAAGCTCAAGCTATCAAGCTGCTTTTGCAAGAAAATGTCTTTTCTTCTAGTTTAGTTTTATTTTCTTTTGAAGATTTTTTTATATTGCCACAAAAACATTTAAATTATCAAATGGCAAAATATTCATTGTTGCCAGATGCAAATTTTTTAAAAAATAAAGGTCAGGCCTTACTTATGTTTTTATGGTTCTCTATTGTTTTCTTCTGTAAAATTTTTGTGTGAAAGAATAAAAAAGAAAAATAAACTTACTGCACCAACTTTTAGATTGTTGGTGAAGGGAGGAAGAATTTGAAATCAGGCCTGGTAATTTATGAATTGTCCGCAGTGCACCTCCTCAGACAAGTTGTAGGTCCAAAAATGTTGGAGTCATGGTGCAGAAGAAAAGGAAACCCCCCCAAACTTGTGGGTGGCTTGACAGTAGGTTTAGGGAAAAAAAAAAAACAAAAACAAAAAACAAAAAAACACAAAACAACAACAACAAAAAAAAAACACAAAAAAAAAAACAACCAAACAAAAAAAATACTGGAGAAGGAGTGTAGACTTCCGAGAAGTTCTGTTGTGCTATGACTAGCTATTGGATTAGAGACAGGACAGTGCATGAATTTACACAGAATCCATCTACTGAACAGCAAAGGGAGAAGGCATACAGTTAGATGAACTATGAGAGCATCTTCAGGAGGGGGCATGACAATTAGATGAAGAAGCTTCCTTGTAGTCCCATATGCTGTTGATGTTTCAAAATTTTCATTAAGTGGGCATGCTCACTGATTTAATTTTTCAATCTCTGTTTTGTCCCCACCTACTGGAAACTGGCTGGACTACATTTTGGTGATTGTTCTATAATTGTCACTCGAGATGTTTTCTTCTTTGTTAAGAAGCAAAAAACACCCAAGCAGATTAGTCCTCAAATAAATACATTTTGAGGGGGTTAAAAAAACCCCTTTTCTTAATGAAGCATTTATTCTGACTGGACAAACCCTATCATTTACTATTCAGAAAGCTACTGCCATGACATGCTGTTACAATTTTTTTTGGGGGGGGGAAATGACTGTTCTATCATAATTAAATGGGCATTTATCCTTTTCATAATTCTTGATTTTCTTTTCTCTGCTCTTCCCATTAGGTGGTTTGCAGCAACTCAGTTTGAACCTCTGGCAGCAAGGTCTGCTTTTCCTTGCTTTGATGAACCAGCATTTAAAGCTACTTTTTTGATAAAGATCAAAAGAGATGAGAAACTTTCCACTCTTTCAAATATGCCAAAGGTACCTGCTTTTGTAGAGGAATTTTAGTAGAGCTGCTGCCTAGGTAATCTGTCTAAGTCTTTTGCATTGTGGTTTTGTTGCATTAATGTCCCGGGGAGTGACTTGAGCAGATAAGCTATAAATTGTATGACTTTGTAATAAAACAACTGTTTCTTCCTCGAAGACTTAAACTACATAACTTCATGGAGAAAACAACTGTTCAGTGCATTGCACAGTGTAGGATGTTACTGTAGGGACAATTGAATGACTATGGGAGGGATTACTGCTGAATTTAAATGCATCATTATTTTGCAGGAATATTATTGTTGGCTACATCAATCTCAACAGCCCTTAAGATTCACATTTGAGTTTTCTGTGTTTACTGATACTGCACATGTGCAGAATACTGGAATATCTTTATCAGTAGTTTGTGTAACTAGCAACAGTCTCTGTGAAAGAGATGCCTCATCTTGAATGATGTGCTTTTGAGCCTAAATAAGGGGAATACAGAGTCAAGCCCAGAATATGAATGAGGCATCTCAAATTCCTTCAGCTAGATCTCTTCAGGCAAAATCTTGTAAGAGCATATCTGAATTTTATGGTGATGCTTTATATCATTTAGCCACTGGACAAACCTTTATAGAAGCTTAATTCATTTAGGCACACCAGCAAGACTAATTTATTACCCAGTCTGTGTCTGCACTAGATAATAAGTTCAGACCTATTAGGTGAATATTACCACCATTTATCACCTAGCAGAACCTCGTTAATATTGACATTGATCTAACTAGTAATGAAAAAAATGACACCCTTGGTGTTGATGGGACACACATGTACACTGTGCAGTTTGCGTTCCAGAAGGTTGTCAAAAGCTCAGGTGATCATGCAGCTATCCTGGTTTTGCAAACCAAACTAATAACTGGAACCGTATAATATAGTATCTTTTTCACAAAGCATGAATATTTCTATTCCTGGATTTGTGGTGATTCTTAATAATTTCTTTAACAGGACTGCAACACTTTAGTTTATGTCCAGGCCTAAGTGCCCTTTATTTGCTGCTTTTTTCTTCACTGAAAGAAGAAATACACTTTGCTAGAAAACTCTCCTGTTTTATGTAAACAAGAAAGGGTGTGTCATGATTTAGCCTGGTCAGCAGCCAACGACTACACAGCCACACTCTCTCCCTTCTCTTCCGGAAATGAGAAGGGACAGAAACCCAGGCTTGGGGTTTGAGATAGGACTGGGATGGGGAAAAAATCACCCTTTATGGGCACGAGAAAAAGGCAGACTCATTATAGGAAGGAAAAAAAGAACATACATTTATTACAGACACTAACAACATGTAATGGAGTAGGACAGTGAGAAATATTGCCACATCTTGAAAACACCTTTCCCCCACCTGTCCCTTCTTCTCGGGCTCAGTTCTGCTCCCCATATCTCTACCTCCCCCCAGCCGCGCAGGGGCAGGGAATGGGGGGTGCAGTCAGTCCTGCTGCTTCTTCCATCTCTGGTGGGGGGAGCTTCTGGAACTTGTTCCCCCTGCTCCATCATGATCCCCCTCTCACAGGAGACAGTCCTCCACAAACTTTCTCCAACATGAGTTCCTCCCACAGGCTGCAGCATTCCCTTATACTGCTCCATCATGGGTCACTAACTTTCTCCGACTGGATTCCCTCCCACAGCTGCAGCCCTTCCAGAGCTGCACTGGCCTGGGCACCCCCACATGCTGCAATCCTCCCAGCACTGAATTACAGCAGCGGGTCTACCTTTTCCCACAAGACCTTGGCCTTCTTCGGGCACAGCACCTTGATCAACAAAGCAGAAACCACAGGCCATAAATCAATGTCTGCTCCACTGTAGATCTTCATAGGTGGTCGGGGGGGTGCTGCCCTGCCGTCTCACCACAGGATACAGGAGGGTCTCTGCTCTGGCACACCTCCCCTTTCCTTTCTTCCTCCATTCCTCCACTGACCTTGGTGTTCAGGCAGCTGCTGCAACTCCTGCTCACAAGTTCCACTGCATGTCACCACGCCCCTTCTTAAATATATTATCGCAGAGGTGCAGCTGATTGTCTCAGTTTTCTTGCAGAGGTGGAGCTGACTTTGAGCTGGGAGAGCTTTGAGAACCTTCTCACAGGGGGCCACCTCTATAGCCCTCTCCCCTGCCACCAAAAAAAACTCCACCACTCACTCAACCCAGGACAGAGTGCTCACTCATTCTCCTCTCCTAGGAGTTTGACAAGTGGCTAAGGCAACTTCCAATAGCTTCCATAGTTCTTCATGTATGAAAAGTAAACTATGTTTTCCATTGCTGCATGTGTGCAGCAGACATTGCTGAGCTGATTGCACACAATTGCTTAAAGTCTATCCTGTTCTTCAGTGTACCTTCCACAGAGGATGGGTACTCTGAAAGACACTGATAGGTTCTCTGAAAGACCAAGAGTATTTTTGGTTTTGGCTTTTATGCTGCACCACACAACCATAGAATGTTTACTGCCACCCTGATCCTGGTATATTCTGAATGTTCTCTTGCTTATCTCTGATGACATCATTATAAAGATGAGAAAGGATATTCTGTGACAATTTTCATCCCTATTAGTTGAGACAGAATTATTTGGTATATGTCTGGCATCTAGGGCCTTGGTTGCCAGCTTGACTGATGATTGGCAGATGAAGTGGAGGCAAAATAATGATCAACTCTTCTTCACTGTAATTTGTGGTTGGCTATTGAAGGAAATTTTCTGGGCACAATTTAAGAGCAAGGAGGGTGTTTTCTGTGGTTCCTAGGTGCTATTATTTCAGTAGCAATTACCTGCCTACTGTTCTTTAGTACATCTTATAATGCCTATTGTGATAATAGACTTCTACAGAAGAATAAGAAAGAGCCCTCACAGTAACAAGCAGGCATATCTACTTCCTTTGCTTTTTTTTCCCACTGTGATTGTGCAGCATCTCCAAGCTGTCTTCTTCAGTAAATGCTTTGTCTAGCCCCTCCATGACCTTGCTTACTTTCTCCTATGATTTCACTTGGATTTCATATTTTGTGCAAGGTGTTTATGCAACTTTGCATGGACAGGAAGAAGTCATCTGGAAAATTGTTCCATGTGTTTATCGAATTGGGCAAGTGTCCCGATCCAATATCGGGGATATCCCGATTCGATATCAGGGAGGGTTCTTAAACGATCCCAAGAGCGAGATTAAGACACAAACGAGGTCAGATGCCGGACAACCTTGTGATCTTTATTAAACAAGCGGCTGATAAGAGCGATAGGACAGGGAGAAAAAGGAAGAGAAAGTCAGAATCCCTAAGCTAGAAAACAGTAGAGATGCGGCAAGATTAATCACCACCACCACGAGCCCACGATGTCCCGTTGGCTCAGTCTCAGTGCAATCGATGATGGTCCAAGCTCCAAGCTCCGCCGAAGTCCACAAGAGGGATGTTTTGGGAGCCCACACGCGCACACACACACGCACACAACTTGCAATGATGACCACGCACACGCACACATTGCGACGATGCACACGCACGCACACACGCGCCAGTACAGAGTACACAGTCCTTTTATCGCCTTAGTCCCCACGATTTCCTGGAAAAGTCCGCCCATTTCCACGGAGCTCGTTGTAATGTGTGCTGCCCCATGGACTTCCATGCGCGCATGCCCAGGTGTTCATGGTGGTCTCACTGGCGAGGGTCAGCCCACGGTGCCTTCAGCCTCTGCACATCTTCCTCACCTCAATTTCCTCCCGACCCGGCTCACGCGCAGGTGCAGTCTGTCTGGTGTTGCCAGGGACGTTGTTATTTGCGCTTCGGGCAGACGTCGTGGTTTCTTCGGGGACTACACGTCTCCTTCAAGGCGTACTCTGTCGCATCAACAGGATGCGGGGGCCAGGAAGTGGTAGTGGTGCAGCAGCGATGTTGAGACAAACAAAGTCCTACACAGTCTCCTACAGCAAGTCTGTGAGATTTCAGATTGTGTCTTCTTACAAAGTGTGCAAGTGGGTCACTTGATGTAGTAAACCATGAGCATCAGTAGATCTGAGCAGGCTTTTCAGTTTTCCTGATAGGATCTGCAGACAAGCCACATAGAACTTAAGCTCTGTGTTGCCAAGAATTATGACTTAACTGGTCCAACCAACATGTCTTAAAGGGCAACTCTGTGTTCCTTGTTTAGTGAGTTATTATTTGTTACCAGAGAATATTCCTCTATATTGTCATTTGAGGCTGTTCAGCAGCTAAATGCCACGCAGTTGCTCACCCACACCCCCCCTCACTTGGGAATGGGGGAGGGAATTGGAGAGGCAAAGGGAGACTCACGGGTTGAGATAAAAACAGTTTAATAACAGTAACAGAATAATACGATGACAGCAATATCAACAGGTAATGTACAATACAGCTGCTCACCACCTGCTGACCAACACCCGCCTGCTCCTGGCTAGTGATCCCGAACACAAAGGCTCCACGGCAACACTCCCGGAAGTGAGAGCCCCTCCTGGCTCACTCCTTCCTTTATATAGTGAGCATAACGTCACATGACATGGAATATCGGCCAAGCCGGGCCCAGCACTCCAGCTGTGCTCCCCCCAACCCCACACGCAGGCAAGGGCTCTCAGACCTGGAGAGCCTCTGGAATCTCAGTGTGCTTCAGCACTCCTCCAGCTACCAAAATGAACATGAACTCTATTCCAGCCCGAAAAAGGACACTCTACTGAGTCTGGAAATAGCTGATTCTCACACCTCAGGACATGGAAACTATGTCTGGAAAAGTCATATTGGTACTTGCCTTAGTCTTGCATGCTCCCATAATTTCTGCCTTGTATTGGCAGTCCTGCAGAGCATGTGCCTGTGGGGTTCTGTGCTTAGGAAGGAGCTGCTCCCCATCACATCTGCCCCTGCTCAACTCCAAGTGCATGCAGGGGTAGCTCTTTTGGTGCTTTCTGTGGATAGTAATGTGTACTTGACGTGTGTACACAATGAGTAATCATACACATGGACAAAACATACTGATGAGCTGCAATTACTGTAAGGTCATCAGTACTTCATCTCTTTCTTCCTCCTTACTTTAGGACTCATTTCCATTTAAGTTTCTAGCCTTTCTTTCTGCAGAGTAGAATTCATTGCATTGTTCAGTTTTCAAGGAGATAGGAAGCCATTTGACGAATGAATATTTGGGAAATGTGACCTTGTACCCATTCTACTTGAAGTGAAAAATGAGTTGGTATTGCACATTTGTATGATCGTAAACATTGGTGTTACGAATTTTCCCTCCTGGTCACATTAAATATACAGCCAAACAGTATGTTCATGTTGTTGTGGATAAGTCTTTTTCCTATTCATCTTTCTCTACATAGAATTCTTCACCGAATGACTTGTGCCACTCCTGCATCATGAAGTCCCTTTTAAATTATGTGATGCATCTTTTGCATATCTTCTTGGTGCTTTGCTTCCTGCTACTGTTTGTCATACCACTTGAATTACCTTCAGATAGAGATGCTTCTTTCTCTTCTGCCTTGCATACTACATGTCTTCTGCTCAGCTACCTATATATGCCATAGGCAAAAAGTCCTGTGCTTCCTTCAAGAGGAGAATTCTCCTTATTATTATTATTGTCATAATTTTCCATCATCTGGCTGTCTGCTTTTTAACCCACCTATTCTGTCTTGCTACATTTGTTCCTGGTATGAGACTCTTCACTGAACTTCCTGTTTGTCCACTCTTTTTCTCTTTGTAACATTTACTGATCTTTTATAGTGAGAAAATGTTTAAGAGCATATTACAAATTTCATCTGCATTTTCTTCTGTTGCTTTCATCTCTGTTTTAAAACTTGGCTGTTACATCATGTGTATGATTGATAAAAATTTGAGAAAGCATCCAGGTGTGGAATAAAAATAATATTAAAAAAAAGACTTTAAAAGCAATCAAGTTATATGTTTAGTGCTGGGGATCAAATGAGACTTCTTGTGTCAAAAGCACAGGTCAGGTTTAATTAGAATTTATCAAGAAGGTATAAGAACATACAGAGCAAGTGAATTCATAGTTTTGCTAACAGCCAGTATTTCCATGATAATTACTTATTTGTATTTATACTGCAAACAATATTATTTTCTTTTGTTTTGTCCCCCAACTTTATGCCCAGGTAATTTGATGCTGTGTAATTCCTTTTTTGTTGTTGTATGAGACCCAAACATGCCATCTGTTAATGGGTTCAGAAGTAGTTCCTTTACGTTTTATAATTTGTTAAGATAACTTGCACATGTGAATTACAATAAAATCCTTAGTCTTGTGGCTGTACAAATAAAGAAATGAGACACAAGAGTTTCTGTGACACAGTATTCTACCTCAACAGCATTTCACGTATCAGTGAGCTGTCTTCTAATGGTAACCATTTTTATATGTAAAGCTTCTTTTAATTGTCATGTTTTTATGATTTATTTCATGTCTTTTGTCTCTGATCTCGCAAGTGCTTTAGCACATGCTAATTCTTACATTTTAGATTTAGCCTGGATTATGTATTCTGTTAGGTAGTGTGGACTCCCAATGCAGTAAGTACAGGCTAGTGAGTTGATTCTTGTACACATAAAGAAAGAATTATGAAAATTGAAGAGGAACATGTATAGAAGTATATTACATTGGTAAGATCATTACTAGGATAGGCTCACTTCTGAAAATACTTAAAACACTGTCATGAAAGAAGTGGTACAGATTCTTCTGTAATATCTGCAAGTCTTGATAACAAACTGTGCTAAGAAGATTGACTGTGAACTTCATCATTTTCTATAAATACCTACATGAGCAAGAAATCTCAGAAGTAGACCTCAACTAGCATGTACGTTGCTAATATGGCAATATATAGTGGCTGACACACATAAAGGCTAGAAATAAACTCTGTGTGTTTTGAACTTATGGTGTTTTCTTCTGTGGTTTTGTTTGAGTGTTTTTAAAAATTAGGATAACTGATTTTTGAAACAGTTTATCTACAGCTACAGTAGGGTACAGTAAATAGGGTGTCATGTCTTTATGAAGATGAGACTGTAGTAAAGGCAGAAATTTATGAATTTGCTGAAGGAATTCAACAATGGCATTGTGTTCATATGCAGTAGTCAGACTACATGTTTATATTGATTTATGTCTTCAGGCTTAAAAATCTATTCCTCTTTAAGGCTGACAGTTAAATTTTCAGTGGCAGTTAAATGTTAAATCATTGTTTGGTTTGAAATGATCATGTCTAAAACTAAGGTTATTTTTGTTTTTAAAATGTTTGTGGTTTCTGGAAACAAACTTATTTATGAAGTTTCAGAAGGCACATGAACTGTCATCCCTGTCTCCAGACCTTTACTGTCCTGCATTATAGTGGTTTTAAACATCTTGGTTTATTCTTTATGTAATTTATGTTTGTGACTGACTATATAGAAAAGTACTTTTAAACATATAGCATGACTTTCCAGGCTAATATTAAATATAATTAAAACTATATAATTAATATAATTAAAATAATTAACTATAATTATAAATGACTATAATTATAATATAGCATTATAATTAGAACATATAAGATATGATTATAAGAATATATAATTAAATAATTAATTATGTAACTAATATAATTTAAAATATTAAATATTATTTCCACTAATATTAAAGAAAAACCTGCACTAGAAGACACCATGGTGTCTTACTTCTTGCTTCAGAAGATTGAGCAGACAGTTAATTTTGGCAGTGTGTAAGCTGGGCATGTTTTTGCTTTGAACTAACCTTAGCTTTTCTTCACTTTTTAAAATGCAATCTCTTTTGATTTGTAAGGGGGTGTGTGAGGGGGTTTTTTGTTCTTTTGTTTTAAAATAATGAGGATAACCAGTTACCTGGCTTTGAAGAGGATTCTGGGAAGAAATAAATGCTTAATTCATGCAATGTCAGTGTTTTTAGCAGAGCTGTGTCTTTGATCTAGCCTAAAGTTTGCTTGAATTAATGATAATCTTTATGTTGACTTTGGATTATACTGAGGGTTTAAGTGTGAACTAAATTAGATTGATGGTTTCTCCAACAATGCAGTTGTCTCGTAATACTGCATAATAAAGCTTGCCAAATAATTTTGGGGTATATAGGCTTAAATGTTCCATCTCTCCTTAAGTTTTGTTACGCCAATGAGTAGGTTGTGAGTATCATCTATCCCTCTGAAACATAACCAAAATATAAAGACGTTCTGGAAGTTTGCTTATAACTGTTCCTAGCATGAAGTAATTCTTTGATTTAATATTGATTCCTTGCCTGTCTTAATGTTCTTTTGTGTGCATTAATGTTTTCCTTTCACCTGCAGAAAGCCACTACTCCTGTGACAAATGGAATTGTTCAAGATGAGTTTTTTGTGAGTTTGAAGATGAGCACCTACCTCGTAGCCTTTGTTGTTGCAGACTTGAAAAACATCACTAGGGAAACTAATGGGAGCCTGGTATGTTTGTTCCACCTTAAATTCTCCTTCAACCCTCCCAAGCCAACCAGACAACCAAACCAGAACAAAAAAATCCCCAAACCAACAAGCAAATTCTGCCTCTTTTAAATTTATTTATTTTATTGGCTTTATTATACTCATCATAGGTAGGGGACAAAAGCCACATGCTATAAGTTGGACTAACTTCAGGGCTTATACCAATATTGAGAAGACTTTTACATCAAGGGACTCAGCATCCAGTCTTGTTAACAGTGGAAATTTACAAAATCTAAAATTCCTAAGAGCTTTCAGAGCTGGAAACTTTAAACTTTTAGTTTTAATGCTTCATATGTGAGACAGTAATGTCATGCAAACCAAGAGTTGTTCAGATGATGTATAGAAACATTACAGTTCCCAGGGACGCCTACATACTATTTCAAGCAGTGCTGCAAATGTGTTCTATACCTGCGAAGATACCCTACCTAAAAAAATCATGCCCTGCAGTAAATCAAATTTAAACTAACTTGAAGCCTACATTTAGTCACTTGAATACAATTATTTCATTGCAGGGTTTTTGTTTTTCCAAAGGTTCCAAAAATCAGTTGGTCCTGTTTGATCTTTGTCCTTTGCAGGGATATGGCCTGCAGGGTCAGTGAGCAGTTCCTACAATTAAATTAACCAAAAAAAAAAAAAGTGCTAATATTAGGACATGTTCCTTAATTGCTCCTTTATCTTATTTTAGGACGTGCAGGAGTTTTGCATGAGCAATGATTTTCATGACTCCCTTGCAGGGACTGCCCCTTTGTGGTGAAATGTCAAAAGTACCAGTACTTACCTATAAAGAGACAGAGGGAATAGTGCTAGTAGCACTGCAGAAGGAGATGCAGGCCTCTCTTTAATCCAATACACACAAGTAAAGATACTGGTCAATGGGCTTTGATTCTGACTTGGACAGGTATTCCTAATTATAGCTGAATAGTACAGACTGTTTGGTCTAACCTGAAAAGTTAAGTCACTATTTTTTTTTCCTTGTGGCTACTATTTGGGTCTGTATTTGAACTGTATTCCTGTATTCTGGTAAAACCATCTAGCCAGTTCTTTACCAGGCAGAAAACTGATCAGTATACTAAATGTTTTGTGTTTGCAGAGAGCCTAAAATAACTATCTATGTGGTATGCTTTGTTTATTTTGTAATAGCGAGACTAACTTGCAGGGATTGTCAGTACTTTAGAAGTATTTTGTGGCAGTGTTATGTAGGAGGAGGAGAGAAGGAAGCATATGATGTTTTTCACAAAATACATTCGCAGAGTGCTTTCAGCAGGCTTGAGAACTTGAGCTAACCAGTTCACACAGGATAAGTTTATTGTCATGAATGTTATGCTAGCTTAGAGTTGAAGTAAAGTTGCTTTGTGTTCATAATGCAGTGACATTTTTCTCAACTCCAGAAGATCCTAGGGGGCCTTTATGTTTTGGTTTTGAGCTTAAAATTTGCAGCTAATAATACTTTTGTACTTCCAGGAACACTAGATTAGACCCTTACATGCTCAATTCAAACTCAAAACTTGAAAGGTCACCCTATCCATCTATTGGAGATGTTGTTTGTTTGCTGATTCGTAGCAAGTAAGAGGGACTTATTAAAAAAACAAAACAACAACCAAAAAAAAAAAAAACCACCCACAAAAAAAGAGGAAAATAAGTCTCCATGTATTTTGTGTATGAAAGGGTATCCTAAACCTGGATCAACATGATCAAAGTTATTTTCCTGATATAGCCACTTCAACGTAAACAGAGCGAGACTGTAACCTCTCATTTTTATTAATGATTTTTACATCATGTCTAATCTGGTCCTACCTTAGATAGGGGAATGGTTGAACTTTGTTCCAATTATTATTTCTTGAGAAATTTTCTTGCAGATAATACCTATGTTATCATACTGATAGTCTAAATATAGATTAATTGAGGTATTCAGGGAGAGTCACTTATTAACTCATGAGGGCGTAGAAAAGGAAATGAATGAGTTTCTGTTCACGCAGACTATTCTTGAACACCTTCCTTAAAAGTGCCAACCTTGAGTTGTTCTGGCATACACATTGGTCAATTGGATAGTCTGTATTTTGACTAGTGAATAAGGTCTAGCAAAAAAAATTTAACTCTTTATTGACAGCTTCCTAACTAGTGTTTGTAACTTACATGTGTACTCCCAAAACCATGTCCTATCTGTTTCAGGAACTTCCGCCAGCTTCTCTCTCACTTCTAAAGCTTTTGCAGCTATATGTTTCAAAATCTTCTCTCTTCTCTGTTTGGACTAGGTATCTGTCTATGCCATACCACAGCATTTAAACCAAGTTGTATATGCCCTAAACACAGCAGTGAAACTTCTGGAATTTTATCAGAAATACTTTTTAATAAACTACCCTCTTGAAAAATTAGGTAAGTTCTTTTGAACTTTTTTTAAACAGAAAAAGAAGCCCTAATCAATTCTGAGGAATTCAGGGGAACTTTTGTTCTGGATAGTTGTGCTTAAAAAAAAAAAAAGATAACATCAAACATCTGTAAAGTAAGCTTCTTTCAAAATTATTTTTAAAATTAATTAAATGTTTGACTGAGTACAATTATTAAATGATTCCCAAGCTAGAAAATTTTTGTGAGCTTTTGAGACCAGATTGCTTATACTTGTATATAACATCAAAGAAATAATTCAGTGTAAATTTAACATCATGTGCCTTGGCAGGGAGATACAGAATTACCAATCTGTGAACCATGTTCACCAGTTCAAAATCTGAAGCCTGACTTCTCTGCATGTGTTAGTTTGAATGGAAAGATAATGAAATGCAATCTTTTAAGACATTACTTTCAGTAGGGGTGGCCACATTTCCTTGTTACTTGTGTGCATGCAAGATCTACAGGCAGTTTCTGTGTAAATTTGTGTAAAGTTGCTTGTATAAGAGTACTGCTAGAGAAACATGGCTATAAATCTATGGCGCTTCTATGCTTGAGATGTGAGCACCTGTCTACACCACAGGATTTAAATAATGAGGTTTTTAGGGATTATGTCATAGAATAGATACAGAATTGCTCTAACTAGCAGTTTTCAAAAGCTTCTTTCAAATCTTTTCCAGATCTGGTAGCAATTCCTGATTTTCAGTCTGGTGCAATGGAAAACTGGGGCTTGATCACCTTCCGAGAAACAACACTCTTGTTTGACAGTAATACTTCTTCAGCAAGGGATAAAAAGTTAATAACTGCAGTGATAGCACATGAGCTTGCCCATCAGGTACTGGATTGGGGAGGTCATTGTTTAAATGTATTGGGCTCTTTTTTAAAAAAAAAAAAAAAAAACAAACAAAAAAAGCAATTCTGTCCTTAAATTGACCTCTGCCCTTACTGTGACTAGGCTGTGTGTTGTATCTGTTCAGAATACCTGCAGGTGTATTTTCTCCAGTACAACAGGCAGAGTGCAAGCTCTGTCATAATTTACTTAGGAAGTTGTTCATGCAAAAGCGTTACCATGGTTTTGACTGAACTTCATTTTGCCACAAGCTAAAGCTGAGGATGAATGAAGTATTACTGTAATAATTGGATTTTTTATCTGAAAAAGAATTATGGTTTTGGTCTTCCATAGTGGTTTGGCAATCTAGTAACTATGGAATGGTGGAACGATCTCTGGCTGAATGAGGGATTTGCCACTTTCATGGAGTACTTTGCCATGGAGGAGATTTTTCCAGAATTCCATTCAGTAAGTACTTTCTGTAACTACTAATATTGACCCTTCACTAAGATCCACTTTTGAATGCTGCTTGTAAAGGACTGATACTTACAAACTTATACTGAAATTTGCTTTGGGTATCGCTGAGATTATACTCAGGGAGATTATACTCCTCTGCTTTGTCACTCATATTGGAAGTGATTTTGGGGGGCCTTTGGGAAGGGTACATTGGGTTTGTGGGGTTTTTTATTTTTTTTTTATTTTGGTAGCAGTCTTCATGCAGCCTTCATGTTTTGCATAGGTTAAACCATTGTGTGCAAAATAGTAGGTTTTAAAAGGTGGAGGTGTCTATATATCAAATTGTAACTTAAAACCTTTATACAGGAAGTCCGGGCTTTGTTGACGAAATTCGTCTGCCTCTACTTTTCCTAGTAGACCTAGGAAGCTTTAGGTTACTAAGTATGCCTGCAGTAACTCCTGTCTTTCCATCATTGTGGTACTTGCTTGTGTCTGGATCAGTTTGGGATTCACAAATCAGGAGACCTTGTATCAAAGTATCATATCCCACTGAAACAGAAAAGGCCCAAACAATAGGCCTCAAACCAAAGTTGACTTCTGAGTGAATTCCCCGACCAGCAATCAGCATCTTATCAGCAGAATGAAGCAACCAGCATCTTATCAGCAAACTGAAGGAACTAGCATCTTAGCATGAAAATGCAACCCTGGGAACAATCCCTGGGAACTATAAGTAAACAATAGGAAGTAACTATAAATCCCAAATGTAAAGAAAAACAGAAACTCCTCAGACATGCCCGGATCCTGGCCAGATCCAGACATGCCTGTGTGAGGCATATCAATCTACCAGATATCTCCTGTGCATTTTGTATAGACTTGGTTGTTAAACTGTATAAAAGCCGGGCCCTCTCACAGCACAGACGGAGACCACACCTACGAGTGGACGCACTGTGTAGGACTTCCCAATTGCCGGGAAAGGCTCTCTGACCCTTCGCTGTGACGGGGCTTCCCAGCTGATGCACAGATCTGGATGATGGTAAAGTATGAGGGCAATTGGTGATGTATCTTTCTTAATCACTATATCTAGCTTTATATAGTAATGACTAGGTGCATTACCTTGCTTATTCTTTCTGCTGCTTTAAACTGAAGTAAAATAAGCCTATTTCTTTAGCTTGGTGTCTGTGTCCTTTGTGTTAACCACCCAATGGATTCTAATAGCATTGAGTTACACTAATAGTACAAAGCACTACTTCCACAGGCACTTCTGTTTACACATATGGCTGAAGGATAAAATCTTTTTGATATAATAACTTAGTCATCATTTAAAAGCTCACTCAGGTACTAAGTGATCTAGCATTTCAGACTCTGGAAAACACAAAGGTTTCAAATTTGATCTTTCTTCTCCAAAGAAGAGATAGCAGCTACAGCTATAAAGCATCCCTGTCACTGAATACAGGCAGAGAAACAAAAATTAGTGGAACTACATGGAGGGAGCATTGGGGAAACAAATTTTGAGTCCCATGTAAAGGTATCTCCTAGGAGAGGAGATATTTGGGCTCTGGAACCAGCTTCCAGGAGTGCTTGCATGATTTGCATTAGTCACGGGACTAAAAACCTGACGTGTACTGTTTCCTGCTTGCTGGATTGTGTTCCTCTCAGAATTCTGAGTGTGAGTTTTGAGTTCTTAATTCACCCTTTCTACTGCATTAAGAAACTTGACTCAGTGGACTTCTTTCTTGGAGCTAGGTGTTTAAAAAGTTTTTAATTTGGCCTGGCCTGTTTTTTGAGTTTGATGGCCACTGAAAGTATGTTCGTGTAGCAATTCTGTTTGTTGGTGTATAGTCATTCTGCATATGTGGTATGGAGAGGACAAAAAACTAGTCAGTTTTAACAAGGACACATCTAACACTTGTGTACTTCATTCTGAAAGGTGCCTAACAAGGTGCCTTCACCAGTATCATTTCATCACTTGGTAGTGCCAAAATATATTGTGGTAAAAATAAAAAAAAATCACTCAGGACTTCTGTAGTCAAGAAGAATAGCTTTAAAATTGTCAACTTTAATGGGTATCTTTATTGTATCGTACACAGGTCCTACTTTTTTTTTTTTTTTTTTTTTTAAATTGGTAGCTCTCTACTGTATAGAGGAAACTATAGAGAATTGTTTGTTCAAGTCTCAAATGAGATGGTCAAATACCAGTACAATCAGCTTCTTCTCAGTGTTTGGGATCGTCTTGTTCTGGTAACAATGTATTAAATTCAATCTGTAAGAAGAGAAGGAAGTGTCTTTGGTACTAGTATCACTAGATAAGGTGGTTATTTACATTCGCACAAACATCACTGTAGTGAGTAATTTTCCTAGACTTCATGCTTTAATATTAAAATATACTAAAGAATTTATGCTTTTGTATTCCCTGCTTCCTGTAACCTAAATGAAAACATTGGTGAGCCAAATCTGTAACTTGGCAGATATTTAGTAGGTACATATATTTTCTCTAGTGCCAATGATGCATTTACCTGAGACAGGATCTTAAGGGTCTGGATAATGATGCAAACCCACGAGTGAGATACCACTGCTAAAATGCTAAAAGTGTAGATTTTACAATTGCTACCCTGACAATTCTTTTGCTGCCTCCATTGGCAGGAAGGTGAGCAGTAGCATGTTAAACCAATGGAAGAGCAAAGCAGAGACAACTTTTACTGTTTTGCTTACCATGCATGTTCTAGCTTCTCACTTATAAATGTTTCTGTTCTAGGATGAAGATTTCCTTAATTTAATTTTCAAGGCTATGATGAAGGATTCCTTGAATTCTTCACATCCAGTATCTTCTGCTGTTCAGTCTTCAGAACAAATTGAAGAAATGTTTGATGCACTTTCTTATATTAAGGTAGCTTTAAAAATATTTGGAAAGTGGTGCAGTAGTTATTGAAAACATGAATGTGGAATCATAAGTAGTCATGTACTCACAATTGTTTGGGGGGTAACTTACACCTAGCACAAACAACACAGGATCTCTCAGTAGTGTTTCTTAGTGTTTTCATAGCTTTTAATTAGGAAAAAAAATGTATGAGTATTTGTGTCCTTACTTAACATCCTTCTCCTTGGTGTATTCTTCAGCACAAAGTATGCACTCATGAAGAAGTAAGAGGGAAGCCAGTAGGTGAGACAAAATATCTAGTGAGACATGCAATCTTTTTCTCACAGCAGACTGTAACAGGTTCTTAAGAAAAGAGTAACAACAAGGCACTTACTGAAGCAATCACTCATTTTTATACACTCTCTGCTTTTAAAAATCAGTATTTTAGAGACTTCCTGAGCTGGAGGCTTACATCTGAAATGTAAAATTATTTCACTGCATATCCTGGTTGTCTGGAACTTGATTATTTCCAATGTCTAGTGACAGTTGTGTGCGAGATTTATGTTTTTAAAGCTTCACAGTGCCACACTTGAAAATGTATGAGAGAGCAAATATCTGTATTTGCCAAATTTTTACTCATGTTGGCTCAGGTTTTAGATGCCGAGTCCCATGATTTTGGTAGTATTAGAGGAAAGCCTTTTATATCTGTCATGGTTTGAGCCCAGAGGGCAACCGAGCACTAGGCAGCTTGCTTGCTCACTCCTTTCCTCCCCATGGATGGGGAGAATAAAATAAAACAAAAGGCTCAGGAATCAAGATAAGGTCAGGGAGGGATGACTCACCCGTTATGGGTCACAGGCGAAAGACAGACTCCTTAGGGGAAGGAAAATAACATTGATTTATTTTAAACAAGGATAACAATTTAACAGTCAAACAGAGTAGGACAATGAGAAATACAACCACATCTTAAAAACACCTCACCCCACCCCTCCCTTCTTCCTGGGCTCAGCTTTGTTCCTGATTTTCTCTACCTCATCCCCTGCAGCAGCATAGTGGGACAGGGAATGGGGTTTGCAGTCAGTTCATCACCCGTTATCTCTGCCACTCCTTCCTCCTCATGGGGAGAACTCACACTCTTCCCCTGCTCCAGCATGGGGACCTTCTCACAGGAGATAGTCCTCCACAAACTTTTTCCAATGTGAGTTCTTCCCATAGACTGCAGCTCTTCATGAACTGCTCCAGCATGAGTCCCTCCCGCAGGTCACAGTCCTCCCAGTGACAAACTGCTCCAGCACAGGCTTCCCTCAGTGTCACGGCCTTCTTTGGGCTCAGCCACCTGCCCTGGCATGGGGTCCTGCAGAGGCTGCATGTGGACATCTGCTCTACTGTGGACCTCTGTAGGCTGCAGGGGGACAGCCTGCCCTCTCACCATGGGCTGCAAGGGAGTCTCTGCTCTGTGCACCTCCCCCCACCCTCCTCCTCCTTTCCTCAGCTGACCTTGGTGTTTGCATAGGTATCTCCCTCATAACTCCAACTCCTTCTCTCAGGTTCCCTTTCTTAAATATGTTATTGTTGCAGTTACCTTAATAAAATAGCTCGAATCCTCGAATATTACTTTGATTTTAGTTTAGAATATTACTTTGATTTTAAAATGGAGTTATAGCAGCTATGAGAATATAAAGCACACTAAGGCCCTTAGGAATAGGAATGGTGTGTGCCTTGAACACTGTACGAATAGTTATGGACTCTGAATTAAAACAGTGGGTACTGGTTATGGATCCTGAGTCAAAACAATAGGTACCAGAAGAGACTGGGTTTGGTTTGGAAGATCAGTCAAAGATGAAATGAACATTGACCAAAGATGAAATGAGCATGCTCAAGGATGGAGTTCAATCAGCAGACACTGTGATGAGGACTATTGACGACCACCAGAGGACCCCCGTCCAACATAACCATGCATGCGTTAGATACATTTGCATATGATAATGATTTCCAGGAAATAACATGAATATGCTGATCATTATCCTCCCCTCATTCTATTCAAATCAATCAGTAAAGATGATCAATGATTTCTGTAGAATAGGAATATAGGTAAGGTGAGGTAACTGAAAGCCAATCATTATTAAGGTCAAACTAAACTTTATGAATTTTGTTGATCTTATGTAACCATGACTCTACTGAAAAAGTGTATAAATATGTTGTGCTTTGTACCTGTTGGTGAACACGTCTTTGGTGGAGCTATCAGGGGGGATAGCTGATAGCTGGATAGTTCCCCAGTGCTGGAATAAAGAAGTGCCTGCTTATCTGCTTTGTGTAGATAACTTCTATTCATGATTGCGACCACTAACGTTACCACAGAGGCACAGCCACCATCACTAATTGGCTCAGCCTTGGCCAGTGGCGCGTCCTACCTGGAGCTGGGAGAGCTTCAAGAAGCTTCTCACAGGGGCCACCCCTGTAGCCCCTCCTCCCACTACCAAAACCCCCACCACACACAAACCCAACACATATCTTTTGGATTAGCTGTCATATTTTTCCCCCACTATCTTTGCTTGCTTGTACTTTCATCTAATAAGAAATCATGGGGACAGATAGTACTTACTTGAAAATAGTCAAATACTGCATCTCCCTGTGCTCAGTGGAATATGGCTCCCACAGCTGTCTTGGTTCTTCTCCTCTGATTTCTTTTTTGGAAGTCTCAGCTGATTAACACATGTTGTCTGGCATCCTTGAACAGTCTGAGATGCCACATGGACTTACAATAGTGATATATTTCTGTTTACTTTGGTCTCTATTCTCTGGACTACAAGAATGTGTGATTATCAGTTTCCCTTGGTTATGAAGTGTATTTGGTTTCTCTCCCTAAGCTGTATATCAAAAGACATGGCTATTGTTTCATGCTTCAGAGTTGCTGTCTCGAGTAATTCCCTTTTTGGTGAGCTTCAAGAAGCTATGCATCATGCATGAATATGTCATAGTTAACTTCAGAGATAACAATTCTGTTGCTCTTTGCCTGATCAAAACTCCTCCATATAATTTTAATGGAAATATTCTATAAATGATTGGTTGGGACTTTCAGTCAATTAGTAAAGCATTGTATTTAGAGAATTACTTTATTACTTTATTACTACTAAGTATGTGCACCTTCTGAATAGAAATGTAGCAATCTACACGTTTGAGTTTAGGAGCTAACCAAAAGAAGTTTTGCCCTTGCATTGTTAGAAATGCGGTTTTTGTGGCTGCTTTCTATGTTTCAGAGACCTTTGTTGCATAGCTTTCCATTCACGCATGCAGTCTTTCTATTCCACTATTCTCAGCCTTATATCTTAGCTAGTGCTCTTGGCAATTTGAGTGGGAAGACACTTGCATCAGGGTCCCTAAATAGCTAAGGATGGTCTGTTATTGAATTGTGCAACTTGCTTTGTTTTACTATAGTACCAACTGTACCTACCAATAAGTAGGTGGCGTCTACATTTTATTGTCTGGAATAGGAATTATTGCACAAAATTATTTTTAGCCTTGTTTTGCAGACTATCAGTAAACCTAACAGTCAAGGGTGCAACAGCAATCCACCTACAACAACAGAGTGTTTTGGAGGATATGATAGTAAGAAAAAGAAAGTGGTAGAGCTATATCTTAAATATAGATTCATGCAAGAGAGGAAATTATGACTATATTATTAAAAAATATAGTAAGGCGTATTACTGTAGTTTCATGAATAATTAGAATAGTCAGGCAGACTTCAGTTTCAGGCAAGATGTTACTTAAATTACAAAACTTGAGTTTGGAATGTGCAAAAACCACACATGCTTTCATTAAAATTCTCCTTTTAATTTTTTCTCGATCCTTTCTCAGAAATAGTATCAAAAATATAAAATGCACCTTTAAACTTTTCATGATCTGTGGCTGCTCATCTGCATTCAGCTGTACAGTGTGCAAGTGCTCAGGCAATTTATTGATTATTGGCTGTGACATAGAAGCATTTACTTGGAAAGAAAATGGCTTTCAGCTATTGTTAAAAAAAAGCAAAAATACTTTTCTATCTACCTGTTCGTGACCACTTTGATACTAAAATTACTCAGTTACTGCTTTTTTTAATAAAATATGGCTGTATTTAAACACTGTCAAAATGCATTTGTCTTTCTACACTCAATTCCAGCCTACTAAGTGTATCTCATATTTTTCCTGTATTTTTAGTATTTTGATATAACTGCAAATCATATGACTGTTAAACACTGTCTCACAAGTACAGTTCTGTACCATACAGTGGAGTATGGGTAATGAAATAGGGCAGCCATCAGAGACTTATCAGTAAGAAGGCAATATTTTTGAGATTATGTTAATTGGAAAATATGTCAAGCTCTATTAGCCTGTTTTGTAACTGTATTTTGAGCCTTTGAAATATTAAAAATTATTTTTTTTTCCAAAGCAGCTGGGAAAAAAATTCAAGCTGTAATAGTCTTTTCTGTAACTGTATTTGGAGTTTATCAAATATTTAAAAAATACTTCTTCAAGGCAGCTGAGTTAAAGGTAATTTTTCAAATGATATCATTTGGGATAAAATCTGCCAGTTTCTGAGTTATTCTTGTAATGTTTAAGATCTATAATACACATATGCTTCAAGAAGTTCTGTAACTTTAATTTACCAATTCTTTTTCTTTTTTTCTTTCTTCCTAAAGGGGGCTTCACTTCTTTTGATGCTGAAGCACTATCTCACTAAGGATGTTTTCCAAGCTGGCATTGAGGTATACTTGCATAGTCACAGCTATGGATCTGCTCAGAGTGATGACTTGTGGGACAGCATGAATGAGGTATCCGTCTTTGATACACTGTTCATGTTTTTTCACTTCTTTAAATGTGTTGTATATTTTGATTTATTTCCTTGTTTATGAAAGAAATAAAATAATAGACTGCAGGTAAATACCTGAAGTTCCTGCTGATCATAGTCCAAAGTTCTGTCATATAGATAGGGATATTCGTGTACCTTCTAGGACTCCACTGAGTATCATCCCCAAAAAGCACTGGAAGTGGGTATGTCCCACCATGCATATCCACACATGTGGGCACATCAGTATGTACATATCCTCTCTAGAGTTGCATTGTTAGTGTGTTAGGACCAGAATAAAAATAGTCCTCTTAAATGCAGGACCAAGCTTTACTTTCAAGGAATAACTGTAGTCCTCTGTAGAGGTCTTGGGATACTCTTTACTAGTGTAACTTGTTTCAGTGATAGCTTCTGTTTCAACAAATGATGCTGGAATTGTAGGAAAACAGATTTTAGGGGACACTTCATTTCAGCAGCTCACAAGTGGTAAGGCAGACAGAAGACTGTGTCTGTTTAAAGTTGGTATAAGGGGAGAGAGAGAGGGCAGAAGAAAGCAAGGGCATGGGCCGAAGAGAGCAAGGATGAGAGTCAGCAAGCCTGTGGGTGCTGGAGAGATCCGGGATGAGAAGGCACACCTGAAGGAGTGGAGAGAGACAGCAGGAAGGAGAGATGATGAAGGAGGGAGAGAGAGCAAGGAAGGGCTGGAGGAAGAAGAGTGCAAGGGAAGAGCACATGAAGGGGAGAGAGTAGGAGGGAGAGTGCAAGGAGGGGAGCATTCGACAAGGAGAGACTGTGTGTGAGACAGTGAGAGTGCAAGATTGAGAGTGATCCCAACAAAGAGCTGCTGAGTATCCCCAGGGAGTGTCAGTGTAGTATAAGGGAAAGAAACAGATTTCCCTGTGAGTGTGTGTACTGCATGGTATGTATTAAAGTCTCTGAAATATGTGTGAGGTTCCCTCACAGAATGTGAGTGCTAGGCAGGATACTAACTTAATGTTTAGGTTTGCTTCTTGTCATTTACCTTACAATATTTGAACTTCTGCGGTAGAGAAATGGACTGGAGCTGCTGTTAGTTATTGTCAGCTGTCACAAGTGGCTATAAATATGTGTGTTTAGTCATACGTAGTCACTTGTTTGCCAGATAGTGATGGATTATTACTGATACTGGACTGTGACTGTAATGACAGAGAAATCTTCTGGTTTGTATAGTGATTTTTATAGTGCAAAACAGACTTTCCTCAACCTCTGCAAAATGGAGCCTCCTGACCAACCATCTTCAGTCATGCACACTATTGTGGTTTGAGCCTGGTCAGCAGCCAAACACCACGCAGCCACTCACTCCCCCTTTTCTTCTGGTAATGAGAAGGGACAAATGAGCCAGGGTTGGGATTCAGGATAGGACCGGGAGGGGAAAATAACCCGTTATGGTCATGAGCAAAAGGAAGACTCATTAGGGGAAGGAAAAAAAGAACATACATTTATTACAGACACTAACAACATTTGACAGAATAGGACAGTGAGAATCATTGCCACATCTTGAAAACACCTTCCCCCCACCCCTCCCTCCTTCTCGGGCTCAGTTCTGCTCCCAATATCTCTACCTCCTCCCCCCAGCCACGCAGGGGTAGGGAACGGGGGGTGCAGTCAGTCCTGCCGCTTCTTCCATCTCTGGTGGGGGAAGCTTCTGGAACTTCTTCCCCCTGCTCCATCATGGTTCCCTTCTCACAGGAGACAGTCCTCCACAAACTTTCTCCAACATGAGTCCCTCCCACAGGCCGCAGCGTTTCCTTACACTGCTCCGGTGTGGGACACCAATTTTCTCTGACTGGATTCCCTCCCACAGCTGCAGCCCTTCCCAAGCTGCTCAGCGTGGGACACTCCCACATGCTGCACTCCTCCCAGCGCTGAACTATAACAGCAGTGGGTCTACCTTTTCCCACAAGACCCCGGCCTTCTTCGGGTGCAGACACCTTGATCAGCCATGAGAAATGAAACACAGGCCGTAAATCAGTGTCTGCTCCACCACAGATCTTCATGGGTGGCAGCGGGGGGCCGCCCTGCCGTCTCACCACAGGATACAGGGGGGTCTCTGCTCTGGCACACCTCCCCACTCCTTTTCTTCCTCCGTTCCTCCACTGACCTTGGTGTTCACGCAGCTGCTGCAACTCCTACTGACAAGTCCGACTCCTCCTCACCACGTCCCTTCTTAAATATGTTATCACATAGGCACAGCTGATTGGCTCAGTTTTGGTGTAGAGGTGGAGCTGGCTTGGAGCTGGGGGAGCTTTGAGAACCTTCTCACAGGAGGCCACCCCTATAGCCCCCCTCCCCTGCTACCAAAAAACCCCACCACTCACTCAAACCCAGGACTTTCATGTAGAAAATATACCACAGGGAGATGGTAGTATCCACATAAAGTGGCTAGGGAGACCACACAGATGCCTCACATTTAATTAGTGTGAGTGTCTTACTGTTACTAGATGCCGGGTTTAACTGCTACTATGGCATGGGAAAAGAATCGTTCTCAAAACTAGATTACTTACTTCGTATGTCTTCCTGGCTCAGAAAATAACTTTTTTATTATTATTACCCAGTTTGTCCATTGGAAAAGTTCAGCTTTTCTGCCAACTCAGCAGGCCTCTTTCTCCAGTCTTCTGGAACCTCAGTCATCATCTTTTAATAGTCAAAAATCATTCTTACCAATTCTGGGATTGCTTCACCCATCTTTAATAGTATTGTTAAGTGAATCACATCTAACCAACTTAGTAACATCTAATGTCAGCACTTAGTGTGTATTTCCTATTTTAATAAGAAACAATCTTTGTATTTGATGCTAAATTAGTAGTTACCAAATTCCTGCTGGCACCAGGTATTTAACAGCATTATCTTCCAGAAGTTGCCCTTCTATGTGGAGGAGCCCACCGATTGGTTCTTTAGATATTTTCTGATGCAGCTTACAATGCTTGCCTTTTCCCCTGTGTCCATTTCTGGTCGCACCTAATTTTGTGCCTGAGTCTTTGGGTTGCTTTGTGGGTTTTTTTTTCCATGTAAGTGTTAATGATGTTAATTTTGTGTTTTCACTTTCCTACACTTTCATATTCCCTTTTTGCAAAGACCCTTTTAGCTGGACTACTTTAATACTGCAGTGAGTTAGTTTACATTTGGGCTTTTATTATTTTGCTTCCCTGGGAAAGCAATGCTTGGGAAAACACTACTGTGTTACCACTGATTTTCACCTATTGCCTCTCTGAATTTACTGAAATACATGTACTGATCTTATGTACATTTTCATTTGTTTTGGTATTCTCTATGTCTTAATATCTTTCTTTTTGTATCCTGAATGCTTAGTTTCTCTTGCTTTCTAATAGTCTTTCACCTTCAGATTCTCAGCCAGACTCCATTGGTTAACAGTCCAATCTAGACAGGCATCATCTCTGACTGCCTTCTCTGCCTTTGGTATCAAAAGTTCATCTATTCTACGAACTTGATGGAAGGTCTTTGCTCAGTAACATTTTCCCCCAATAGGTATTTTAAGAAGAATGTGAGTAGCTCACACAAATATTGTGTAACTTTCTGATATTTGAGTTGACTGATACCTTTTTTAGTGCTCCTGGACTCTATCCAGTGCCCAGATCTACTGAAAGTTTATTTCAGAGTTTTATTTTCATAATATAAGAGGCCATATCTCTGTCAGGACTTCTTGATTCCTCTCTATCTTAGATGGGAACTAGTGTCTCACTTTTGACAATTAAATCATTAGTATTACCATGTAGTGAGATCTTTTGTTATCATTTTTGGTTGTTTCCCATATTTATGGTAATGGTAAAACCAAAGCTATCAAATTCAGCAAATTGATTGTCTCTATTTCCTCTTGCTCTTGTTAACTATGCCTGGGCCGAATGTGTGTGAAAATTCCAACCATAAAAGTGGCCTTTTCTTTGATCATAATTTTTTGCTGTCTACACAACAAAATGCACAATCATTTCTTAAGTCATAGCTTTCTCTGTGGAAATTGACAATCATAGTTGGAGTGAAGATGAGAAAATTGCATGTGAAATAAAATCTGTAACACAGAAAGCAAACTTTCTGTATACTTTGCATGGAAGGAAGAAGGATGAAGTAATTTTCATGTGTTGCTTTCATTGGAGCTGTTCAAAGAAGATATGTAAATAAAAACAATGTTATAAGATCTTTAATATGCTGAAACCATGAACTTATAATTTCTAATGAATTAGTTTAATTTCAGGTGATTGGGAAGGATTCTGTTTTGGGATAAAACTATTTCAGCAGTGCAAATTTCAAATGTACTCATGTCTCTGTACAGATTAGACACAGATCTTTCTGCCAGTCTTTAGGTGGTTCACAGTGTTAGCAGAGAAAAACTTGAGATGTGAAACAGGCAAGGTGACAAGGTGCAAATATTAGACTTAATTAGTTTCCTGATCTCATAACATTCCTCTCATCTTGGGCTGGGGAATTTCTTGGTGGCTTCAAAATGTAACAGGAAGGAAAGGAAAAGACAGTGGCAAAAGAAAGTGAAAGCATGCATTCAGCACATCTTGGGCAATTTATTAAGGGATTGCGTAATGTATCATTGTAGTAACCATGATGTTTTGTGATAACAACACAGAGAAAGAAGATTTAGCCAAGAGTGGATTTTGGGAGTATGTAAAAAGTATGTTTTTTCATGTAGACTTCAAATTCTATAAATTTTAAACTTCTGAAAGAGAATTGCTTCTCTGGAATTGAAACTCCTATTGAAATTTCTATGGTCATTTTCCCAGGATGGTAAATTGTACATGTTATTGTTGGCTTAAACAGGGAACAGTAGGCAGTAAGATGCTGATGAGGAAACCAGAGAAAGACACTGTATAGGCTGGTAAAAGTTAAATGTAACTTGAATAATGATATTTTAATTTCCTTATAGCTCAACTTAAAACATTCTTTTGTAAGTTAGAGGACATATTGTCTTCTTCATTTTGGATGATCATCTCTGCTAATGAAGAGGCTGTGATATGTAGACATGATAAAGTACTTGTCCCTCATTGGGGATATTGTAGTACAAACCATTCCTGAAAGATTAGAAGAGGTTGGAGATTAAGCTATGCAAAGGATGGTAAATGGGAAAAAAAAAAAAAAAAAAAAAAAAAAAAAGGAGATGAAGGATAAAGGAAAAGGATAAACTGATGTTTGCTATTTTTGTTGTACAAACACCATCACTTTAATGCAATTTATAATATTAATTTCAGAATTAAAAGAACATATTTAACTTGAAATGAAACATCCACTTAATATCGGAATACCAATAAGGAAAGGTAAAGGGTAGGGGGGAGCTTGGGAACATACCATAACTTTCTTTTCTGTAACATTCTCTTTTCTACTTTCATGACAAGCCAGTGCAGCATACCTGATATTTTCAATTTTTCTTTCCACTGCTTCGCTAGGTTTCCCTCAACTTAAGAAAATAAAAGCCACTTGCTCCCCTAAGTTGTTGGTTACAAAATTTACAAGCTCAATGACAAAGTGATTGTTTACAGATGCAGAATCTTACCCCTACTTACTTGGTAAGTTAAGGAGGAAGGTTTAAAAGTGTTCTCCATTTTCTGTTTTCTTGTTATCATTGTTTTTTACAGATTACCAATGGAACACTAGATGTAAAAAAGTTGATGAAAACTTGGATTCTTCATAAAGGATTTCCTTTAGTCACTGTTGTCCGAAAGGGAAAGATTATTTCTATACAACAAGAGAAATTTTTGTGTCATGTGGAACCAGAAAATTGGACATCAGATACAAGGTTATTACCTTCTTAATACTTTTTATCCATTAAAATCTACCTGCAGATATCTTTTCTGTATCTTGTGCATCTTTCTCATTTGTATTCAGGGATTCTAGTATTTTCTTTGAAGGTAGGTAGTAATAGAGAATTTCACACAGAAATTCACATGTTTAGTGTCTGCCTGAAGATCCATATCTATTGCCACCAAAGCACTGGTAAAAATCTGTAGCATCCTTTGTAAACTGAGTTTCTTATTTGCATCTTCTCCTGAAGCTTTTAAGCTTGAGATGATAAATTATGGTTAGTAGTACAATGAATTCTTAAATTTTTTAATACCAAAAAACAGATCTCACAGATAAAGTCTTCTTTTAATTTCATAAAGTTTTGTGTGTTTAATGAGAAACTGAAGAAAGGCAGGTTGCAGAAGTTACAGATTCATATGTCTTACTTCAGAGCCTCTGCTTCTTCCTGCCAAAACTCAGTGTACATCTTGGGCTTTGTTAGAGGAAAGTAGAAAAGCTAGAATCAAAGCCTACTTGGCTTAAAAATTTTCAGATGGCACTAATGCATGACACTAAATGTCTGAATATATGAGAGGAAGTACATATGCAAATACCGAAGAAGCCAAAATGTGGCAGTTGCTAATTGTAAAAATTAATTTGCTGCAAATATGTCTGATATTATGAAGCTTACTACATTTTGTAACAAAACAAAATATGTAAGCTTGAACCCTTTTGAGATTTTGTTGCATTCAGTTGTTTGAAGTCTTAACAGGAACTGAGCCCTTTGCATCATCTTGCAGAATCAGGCCTGTGGAATTTGTCTCTTGAAATGTTGGAAGTTACAAGGCTTTTTTTTATTTTTGTTATGTGGAGGAAGGAAAGAGATGTGTGGTTGAAAGGTAAGAGAAGAAAGGAAGGATTGTTAGGCTTAATTATTCCTTTATTTCTAGTTGATGTAAATTTGGGGAGTGCATCTGAAGCTTTTGAAGAATGTTCCGTGTGAGCCATACACAGAAGGTGTTCCTGTCAAAATTGGAATGAATATGTGCAACTTGTTTCATCTCACTCAAAGTTGTGTTTTCTCTAAATAGTCAAGTCCTTATCATCATTGTGAGCCAACTTATTATTTATTCTTCCAGCTTGCAATTCACTTGAGACAGTTTTTGTGGTATGCAATCAATTATGGTTTCTACTACCATGATTTGGAATTAGAGTCTTGTACCTGAATCAACATAAATTGTTTTGTTTTGTCTTGTTTGATATAAAACATGTAAAATTTCAGGAAGACAGAACATTAGACTGGGGTGAAAATAATACTGGCTGGATTTTTGATGCAGTCAGAGATTTCCTGTCCATTTGACTTTGAACAAGCTACTTAGCATGCTGGAACTGAGGAAGAAGTACTAGGAAATGTGGTGTCCCTTAGGGTTCTGTACTGGGACCAGTACTGTTTACATGTCTTCATCAGTGACATAGGCAGTGGGATCGAGTACATGCTCAGCAAATTTGCAGATGATACCAAGCTGAATGGTGCAGTTGACATGCCTGAGGGACAGGATGCGTGAGGCACAGGATGCATTTCAGAGGGTCCTGGACAAGCTTGAGAAGTAGACCTATGTGAACCTCATGAGGTTCAACAAGTTCAAGTGCAAGGTCCTGCACCTGGGTCAGGGCAACCCTCAGTATTAATACAATCTGCAGGATGAAGGAATAGACATCAGTCCTGCAGATAAGGGCTTGGGGGTACTGGTGGGATTAAAAATTGGACATGAAAAACTGGAATTGTGTACTTGCAGCCCAGACAGCCAACCATATCCTGTGCTGCATCAAAAGAAGCGTGGACAGAAGGTTGAGGGAGGTGACTCTGTCCCTCTACTCTGCTCTGGTGAGACTCCATGTGGAGTACTGAGTCCAGCTCTGGAGTCCTCAATATCACATGGACCTGTTGGAGCAGGTGCAGAGGAGGGCCACAAAAGTGATCAGAGGGATGGAACACCTCTCCTGTGCGGATAGACTGAGAGAGTTGGGATTGTTTAGCCTGGAAAAGAAAATGTCTGAGGGGGATGTTATTGCAGCCTTTCAGTACTTAAAGGAAAGATGGGGATAGACTTTTTAGTAAGGTCTGTAGTGATAGGAGAGGGACTAATGGTTTTCAACTAAAAGAGAGTAGTTTCAGACTAGGTATAAGGAGGAATTTTTTTATGATGAGGGTGGTGGAACACTGAAACAGGTTGCCCAGAGAGATTGTGGATGCTCCATCCCTGGAAATGTTCAAGGTCAGGTTTGACAGGGCTCTGAGCAACCTGATGTAGTTGAAGACGTCCCTGCTCATGGCAGAGAGAGTTGGACTAGATGACCTTTAAAGTTCCCTTCCAACCCAAACCATTCTATGATTCTATGAAATTTTCCCACTTCTCAACATGTCAGGAATAAAAAAATAATTGCTCTACATGCTGTACATGTATTCTTTTATCATATTCTGATTATACGAATGAGATTTATACTTTATAATTTTACATAGCATGCGGTGATTCTAGTATTATTAATATATTAAAATGCTTAAATGACAAAAAAAAAAAAAAACAACCACAAAACAAACCCTTCAAGACAAATAATGTGTGTATGATATATCAGTAAACATTTGTTTTCCTTTTCAGTTATCTGTGGCATATTCCTCTCACCTATGTAACTAATAACTGCAACTTTACCCACTGTATTAATGCATATTTACTGGACCAGAAGTCAGGTATGTGACTCAAAACTCCGGTAGCAAATTACTTAAGTGTTACAGATTACTCATCTTTCTGAGTGCACACTTGTGTAAGATGTGAAGTTGAAGGCATACGTAGTACAAAATAATTACAGAGATCTGGAGCCAAGCACTACTGATGGTGTCATCATTAGTTAGCTGGTTTCCTATAGCATTACATATTTGTACAAGTAAATGTCAGCAAGTGGGCCACAAACACAGGTTTGGAATTTGTAAAAGCCAGTCCTCTTTTCATCCCAGTGCATGCACAAAATCTCTCAAACTGCATGTCCTTTAGAGAGTGAGTAATGGGAAAGTTGTTCTGCCAGTGTATTGAAATATGAGGAAGTCACTTTCCATTGAAATAATATTTTATTTAATAGTATAAGAAAATATTGCATCTGCAACAGATTAAGTTTTTGAGAATGCTATAGAACTTGAAACCTCTAGATCTTTTCACATAAACTCTACTTTTGCTGCAGTGGCTAGTTTGAATCCTAAATTGCTAATCTGAGGAGAGTTTTTATTCAGCACTGTTTTTTTTTTTCCTTGACAAGTGAATGCTTACTATACACTTTTATAATACTGTGATAAAATCACTTTGTCTGTCTTTCTTCACTGACATTAATAGGTTTTGGATTTTATTGAAGCTGGTCTGATTCATTGTCTTACTTCTGCTGATGTATTTTCTTCTCATTCATTAAAGTTACTATTCAGTGCATTTAACTAGCAATTATTTTTAATTCATAAACCTATCTTTCACCTCCACTTTTTGAAATAAAACTATACCTATTTAAGATCAAATTATTTGAGCTGATCTTGACATCTTTACTGTTTACTCACTTTTATGAACTGCCACCCCTCTAAAATTACTTTAGAAGTACTATAAATAAATGTTTTTGGTTTGTCATTCTGATACTGGTTTTATAAATTCTGCAAGTTATTCATGGCCTTTTTCATTTGAGATGGAGTTTTAGAAAAAAATACTATGAATTATCAGAATGGAAAAACAAAGCTGTTTAATTGAATGTGTTCTTGATCTTACTAGAACTAATAGGTAAGTAACCTGATTCCATTATTTTTGTTTCACCTTCAGTGGCTCTGTTGGTGGTCTCATGTTCATCATACTAGTTCTTTACTCACTGTAGAAACTTGAATGTGGAGGATATGAGAGTAGGAGAGATGTATAAAAGAGTTTGGAGTAGAGTATTTATTTAATTTCAAAGGCATTGTAGGTGCTATTCAAATTGACGTTTTTGGGAATAGTTACATAATCAACTGAAATGAAGAACTTTTTCCCAAAGGCTTTCTTTTTGTATCCAGTTGACTTTGAAACTAGACTATGGTCTTTAAACTACTTGACGCCATCTTCATTTCTCTATTTCTTTATATGATGTGTGTAACTGTTCTTCATATATGTATCTATATACATATAGATAAATACATATATGAAAGTGGGCAGAGAGGAGACAGAGTTGTTTGAAAGGACGACTGGACAGAAGGAGAAAAATTACTGCACTAAGTAATTAACTTCATAGATACAGACCGGGGCAGACTGCTATACTGTTTATTTGATTATGTATAGGAAGAATGAGAAAGAAGTACAACCTGGAATTTTGGGGCCTTCTCATAGAACCTTTGCACTGGGTATTCCTTCTTCATAGCAGGGGGAACTAGTGGATGGAAAAGAATTTATTGATTCTGTGGAACCAGTCTGCTTCATAGATTTGGATATGAACGAATAGTTGCTAAGTGTTTGTTTCTGCTGCTAACATTATCTGTCCATTAGGTGTCATTGAACTTCCAGAAGAGGTGGAATGGATAAAATTCAACGTGGACATGAACGGCTATTACATAGTACACTATGCTGAAGACTGGAAAACGCTGATTGATCTCTTGAAAAAAAACCACACTGCTTTGAGTTCTAAAGACAGAGCTAATTTGATCAACAATATCTTCAACCTTGCAGGGTAAGACTTTTATTTGGGAAAACACAGTTAATATGTGTATGAAGTTTTTTCCATGTCAGAGAAGATCAGGCTTAGATTCTAGAGAAGGCTGATTCAGAGAAGTTTTAATTCAGTCTTTATTAGCCTATTGAAGCTGTTTACCATTCACTAATACCTTTTTTAAAGTTACTTCACAGATGCTTCCATATTGTTCATTTTTCTGCATCACAAAAAGCCACATGATAACTTCCATTTCTGAAAGACACTTTTCTTTACTGTCTGATAATCTGCCTCGAGGACTGTTTTCTTCTACTCTGTCAAAGAGTGCTCTACTTTAGAGAAGTAAGCTATTTGCTTATAAAATCATTATTGGCTCCCTCTCTTGTCTTTCACCACTGCCATCAGAGCAGATGAGGCTGAGCATTCTGGATGGCCTTTCTGACAGTGCTTTCTTCTGAGTGCCCTGATTTATGATAAATATTTTCAGTTATTGTTGTCACACTTCCTTACCTATTTTAATTTTTGTTAATTGAAGGCATGTTAGTGGCCATTGTTGCTTTGCTGATATCCTACTAATGTTATAATATAAAAATTTCTACATCTAAAGTGTTTCTTATGTTACTCCCTCTATTCATCTATCCCTCTGTTAATGTAATGGAGAGCATCACTTCTGGATTCAGGGAGTGCTTTTGTTTTGGAAATCATTTTAATGTTTGTATTCATTGACCTTATAGTCTAGGAAAAGAGTCTCTGGAAAAGGCCTTTGAGCTGATTGATTACCTTAATAAAGAGAGCAGCACTGCACCACTCACTCAAGCTTTGTTTCAGCTGAGTCGTATATACAGCCTTTTAGAGAAAAAGGGTGAACAACAACTGGCAGCACGAGTCATGGTATGTCTTAGTTTTCTGTTAATTATGATTTGAAATAATTAGCTGTAATGTTCCTTATAATTACATTATCTTTTTAAGTGTTGACTGTTGAATATACTCAATAATCTCACTAAATTGGATGGAGATTCTAGATACTTGCCAGTCTTGCTTGCTTTTGTTAAATAGTAATGACATCTTACTGAAATGCTAAATTTTTTGGATCTACTTCTTCCTTCTCTACCCACCAGTGTTTTGTAGGGAGAGTCTGGAGATTTGCTGTAGTCACTATAAAGGTCAGTGTAGTACAGATATGTAATTAAAAAGAGTCCTTGACAATTTTCTACTACAGAAAAGTTATTTCCAAGATTATTAGAGTGGCTGGAAATCACAAATATAATTGCTTTATATAGAGACAGTGGAAAGAAACAAAACTATTTGCTGTAAAAATAGAAACATGAGTGGTTGTCGTTGTCCCATTCCAGCTGTGTGATAGATTAACATGATACACTGCTACAGATTTAGCAATGAAATCAACATCATAGCTTCAGTTCTTGATGCAAAAATGTCCTTAATGTCTCTATGTACCTTCTTATTATGAAGCCTCCTCTCTGTATTCATCTACAGGTTTAAAATTATCTTTGCTGCTTTACAATGTAGAAAGTCAGCAAAGGGATTTAATCTAGAAGGAAAATTATTAAATGATTAGATAAAATAGCAGATTTTTTTTTTTATACTAGGTAAGGGTAATTAGTGAGTACTTAAGGAAACTTATAAGAAACGAAAGCCCACTACTATAATAATTTTCCTTATTTAGTATTTATTCAAAGGTTTTACAGATCTGATGTGACAAACAGCCCAAGATATGGTTTGCAATGCAGCATCTATGAGGTTATATTTAAGTTTAAGGGTTTCAGCTAAGATGAAGTATCTGGTCAGGCACCTAGCTGTGGTTTTGGCAAGCTACAAAACTACAAATGTGAAGGGTGTTCAGCCTCTAGATAAAGGTTTATTTGTTTGTGCTAAACTCAGGTGTATTAACTGTTACTTGATTGAGTTAAAAGTAGTTAAACATACAGAAGTTGTAGGTAGTTGAGCCAGTAAACTGAATACATACAAGTCTGATCTGTAGCTCGAAGAGTAGTCTTTGGTTTCCATGTGCAATTTAAGATGTAGACCTGGCCCATCTTTCAGATCTATGTGTTATCTGATATTTATTCATATAGATAAGAAATGGTATATGTAAACTGGAACAGGGAGATGAAAAACTACTGTGTTTAACTTCTGCAGTTCTAAAACTTAACTTTTTTTTCTTTATTTAAACTAATTTTGTATACAGAAAACACTCTTGGGATGAATTAACTATTGCTAATGTTTTTTCCTCCTTTAGCATAGAATAGAGCACCTGCTTGGTGATAAAATTGATCAACAGAGTTGGACAGATGATGGGACGCTGTCTGAACGAGAGCTCCGGTCAACGCTGCTAGCTTTTGCCTGCACCCATGGTATGAGAAACTGTAGAACAACTGCCACTGAGATGTTTGAGAAGTGGATGAAGTCTAATGGAACAATGAGGTACCACAAACACTGGGCTTCCACTTCTTTTATCTACCTGCTTTCCTGTTACATTGCCACCATTGTTTAAAACAAAACAAAACAAAACAAAACAAAACAAAACAAAACAAACAAAAAAAAAAAGCCCCACACCATCACCACCAACACTGATAGAGTACTTCATTCTCTCTTTGACTTGTTCCTCATGTAGAAGTAATTGCTGTTTCAAGATGAGAGAGAACTCTGCTAGCATTTAAGACTTTGTCTGCAGTCTCATTAAGACTGCAAAACCAGACACAAATTGCTTCCATCTGCATTTCCTAAGCTGCATGCTCAAGGAGGATTATTTAGTAGTAATGTCAAAGCATGCCTTTTTATCTTACAGAATTAATTCTGCTCTGGATTCATGTCCATTTTTAGCCACAGGAAATTACTCAGATTTTTGTACAGTTTATTGTGCTTTTGTGTGACTAATATGATCTGCTTTTTCCCAGTAACTTAAAGAATCAGACTGGAATGAATTTAGTCCAGCAAATTTACAACTGCTACAGAATTAAATTGCTCAAAAGAGAGGAATCTCTTTCAAGCTAATATTTTAATTTTGTAACTTTTCTTCCTTCTTTTCTCAGATGAGCATTTATATGCCACCTCTTTTGTTTGTTTGGTTGTTGTTGTTTTGTTTTGTTGTTGGTTTTGTTTTTCCCTGTAGTCTGCCTAGTGATGTTATGAAAGCCATATTTACAGCTGGAGCCAAATCTAGTGATGGCTGGGAATTCCTCCTAAAGATGTACTCTTCTTCAGTTTCTGAAGCAGAGAAGAGCAAAATGATTGAAGCCTTGGCCACCACAGAAGATGTCAGAAAGCTGATCTGGTATGAAGGAGCCAAAAAGTTGTATGCTGTGTAAATTAAAGGCGTTAAAATCTTTTCAGAAAAAAAATACATTGCCTTTTTTGAATTGTTGAAGTTCTGATTGCTAGTCTTTCCACATGTCTTATACAGGCTTCCATAAACATGAAGAACCTGATACTTTTCACTTAAAAATAATTTATATTACACAGTAGCTAAAAAGTCCAAATTCTGAATATGCATAAAGATAAAACAATTGAACAATTGGCTCTGCACTACTGGTAACACAAAATTGCAGACTTTGTGATAAAGGTAACAAAGTTGAAGATTGTTCTATGGAGTCTTAAAAGACTGGTGTATCTTCATAACCAAGATAATATCTAGTTGGGGGTTGGGGTTTTTTTGTTGTTGTTTTTTTTTTTTCTTCTTTTTTTTTCTTTCTTTCTTTCTTTGGGTGATATTTTGACCTTACATTATGCTCTAACAACTCTCTATAGACCAAATCTCAGTACTGCATGGAGGACACCAAGGTTGTGCTGCTAGGTGATTCTTGTTACAGCTTTCCTCTCTTAACTTTTCAATGTATTGTGCTTTTTTAACAAGTTGCTAGAATTTACTTCATCTTTTCCAACAGCAATGAAAATTCAGGTATTTTGTTCAGAGCTAAGGTCACTCTGATACTTGGTAACTAAAGCTAAATAAGTACAGTGGTAATAAAATGGAGCATTGGTGTGTTCCATATACCAGAAGTCTATTATATAGTCCTCATATTATATCTGTTACATATTTTTTTCCATCTGTTTTAGGATTATCAGAAGAATCATATGAAGATAACAATAGATGTTTTTTCCTGTCCTTTTTCATGTACTTTGTCTTTTAGGTTAATGCAGAACAGCCTTGAAGGAGAAGTCATCAAGGCACAAGAGCTTTCACATATCATAGCAACTGTTAGCCAGAGTTTGTCTGGATATTTGCTGGCCTGGGACTTTGTCAAAGAGAACTGGGAAAAGCTTACACAGAAGTAAGGCTTTTGATGTATCTGAAACTTCACACTCATTGTGGCAAAAGCACCTGTTTCTTTCAAGTGCAAGATAATAAATAGTTGGATTCATACAAGAGGATTTCTATTAAAATTGTAAAGCCTGATTTGAAATCTGATTTTACTAAAATAACTTGGAATATCAACTTTGAAGTCTCACCAATAGTTGATGGGACTTTGCTTTAGACTCGCTTTAGAAATACCTGTTATCCTTAACTGGTCTTGCAGGGTACCCACCAGGAGAGCTGGCCTGCCAGGCTTTCAAAATCTAACAGTGCATGGAAAACTGTATTTCTAAATCCTAGTTTTGATTTGGAATAGTTTCACATTGCTATAAAAACTTCTCTTGGATTAAAATTTCTGCTTTAGCAAGCTTTCAGTAGGCAATATTACAAAATTACTTTGCTTGAAATGAAATCTGGTTACAAATTCAGTTACTGTAGAGTTTTGGAATACATACCACAAATATAGGTCTTGGTATTCAGTGTGTGGTGTCCTCAGTTCGTAACAATTTGAGCTGTGTTAGAAGTTTGAAATTTTTCCATGTCTTTTGCTCTGAAGTTCAATTTTTAGAGGGATTAAGGAACTACGGGCTTGGAAATCTAAGACCTTTTATCTCTTTTGAAAAATGAGTTCATGAACTTGAATTTAAGTTCTTGTAATGATTTTCAACTACTAAACGAAAAAAGTAGAAATAAGAATGTGTACATATACTTAACCTGCATCTTAAAATGGCACCTAGTTAAAATAAATTATTTGTTTCTATTTCAGATTTCACCTAGGCTCATATACTATCCAGAATATCATTAGTTGGTCAACTTCTCAGTTTGCAACAAAAGCACATCTACTTGAGGTTGGTGACTTAACCTACTAGAAAAGGATAATATCTACTGCCAATGCTGTTTCAATTTAATTGAGGGATGAAGAAACCACATGTTACTCCTGTCCTTAATGCCCTTTTGCAAGGATATACATATACTGCTTTCCCTGCTTCACACACAGCAAATATATGCATAAATATGTTGAATATTACATACCAAGTCTGTGACAGAGATGTGTATAGAATTTAACAGTTATCTGTTTATTCTGATTTGTTTTTCTGGAATGGAATACATTGTCTCCCAAAAATAATTTTTTGGTCTAGATGTTGTAAACAGGCTATGCTTTCTGCCTCTCTGGAAGGTGATGGACTGCTATAAAAATTGCTTAGTTATTTTTGCTCTTAACAGTCCCAATGAGCTGTTGTGGAGGTTGAGTATCAGTTAAGAGCCAGTTAATAGCCATTAGAAATCTCTGTTGTCTTCCCTAACAAGGCCTTGAAGGTAACGTGTAAAGAATGGTTTATAGTTTACTCTAATGTTTTCATTCAATATATTGATAGAAATAGCACTGACAGTTATGAGTGGGTGTGGGGGTCATTCCAGAGTGGTGAAGAGGGTTGCTTGCAACAGTCAATTTGTTGTCACAGAATGAGACTCGTTTTCCAGAACTTTAATTGCTCTGTGATTGCTCTGTGATAAATATGATAAGTGAATGTCTGTTTATTGGTGAAATAATTTATTGAAACCAAATGAGTTATTGCTGAAGTTACCTTGAAAAATGCTTTTGTTGAATTGTGGGAACTCCTCTGAGAGGTTTGTTTATTGCATAGATACAAATGATTCTCAAGAATGGATTTCCTGCAATATATGTGTAGCCTTTGCTTTGGAACCTATTTGTGTGACCAGTGTTGATTTTAATTAAAGTTTTCTTTTTCTTTTGCTATGCAGGTGAAGTCATTTTTTGAGTCAAAATCAGAGGAGAGTTCTCAACTGCGTTGTGTAAAAGAGGCAATTGACACAATTCAGTTCAATATCCGGTGGATGGAGAGGAACTTAGCAAAGCTACAAGAACTGCTGTAGTGCACATAATGCTGTGATGTGTCAGCCATTTAGGAGCTCTGTGGGCAGTTGCTGTGTTTCTTTTGCAAAAGCCAGGGTGAATTCAGTCATCACTGCAGCATTGTTTGTACTATTAAGGAAGGAAGGAAGGAAGGAGTTATTACGAACTGTTATTTCTTTGCAGGCTGCTCACTGAACAGTAGATTTTTTTGATGCAAAACTGTAGGTGGTTTCCACATTTGTAGATACAGAAGGTGTTGTGAAACAAAATCATACTTTCTATACATAACTAGTAGTTGATCTTATAAAGTACATCATTTTTAGGCAAAAGAAATAAGTTTCTGATTTAATTTAGGTATGGATTCTTTATTTTCTCATTATTCTTTAGGAATTACACACAAAAAAGTATTAATATCTCATGCTAATAGTATACACTTTGATATATAAAGTGGTAGCAGTATGAAAAAGAAAACCCAGATAGCAAAACCAAGTGTGCTAGAGATGGGATTCCCAGAAACACTGATGTGACCTTGGAACTCTAAATTTATTAGGCACTTTTGAGAATCTCATCATTAATCACTGAATTTTCACTGATTTTTCACTGATTATATCTGAGAGACTGCACAAAATTGCATTTTTCCAGGTTGATTCATCTGTTAGACTGACTACTGATTTGTGCCCATTTGACTACTGATTTTTAATTTCACCACTTGTTGTAGAGGGTCTGCAATTAATTGATATGTCAGCCACTTCATTTGGGTAAGCTTCTGTTTTTTCCTTACCTGCTAACTCCCATATCACAGCGTAATTTGTGAAATCACTCACCTTTTATGACATTAGCTTTAGGAAAGCTTCTCATTTAGTTTTTAATGATTTGTCCTTGTACTGCTGTGAAAAACCTTGTGAGACAAATCTTTCTTTTAAAGAAAAGGATCTAAACCACTAATGTGCTACATTAGAGCAACAAAATACCTACTGTGCAATCTCCACCTCTTTCAAAAGAAGTGAAAAAGGCCATTTTTGAGGTGCAGCATATATATACAACACATACAACAGTAAACATACCTTTTTATATGGACATCTGTTCTATTAATTTCATTACTAATGAAATTTTTCTGGATTCATGCTAGCAGATTCAGACCTGTTGTTTTATCATCATCCAATTATGTGATCCGTTATAAACTATGATGAAAGCACTAACAATTAAAAGTTGTGATATTTTAATTAGAATATTTTAATTTCAACTGCAGTAAATGCTGAAGAAGGTAATAGTTTGAATTAGAGTAAAATTAATGGACTTAAAAATTTGTCACAAGGTAATTCAAACAATGCTTTAATTTATGAAACTGTAGCACTGGCTGTTTAGTTGGTTAGCAAAAATTGTAAGCTATGATTTCTTAAGCCATATCATACTTTTCCCATCTTTTCAGACTATCTGTCAATACTCCTGGAAAAGAAACTCCTCATTTTCCTGTTCACGTTAGAATTTCAGATGTCATTTTTAACCTTGAAATTATCAGAAAGAATGTTAGACCTTAAGAGTGTGCAAAAGCTTGTTTGCCCAAAAGACCCAGAAATTAATAAGTTTTGCATGCACTGAAGAAGAACCTGACAGTATGAGCACTGAAAATAAATCATACTTCCTTATAAGTTATGGAATTAGAATTGTAATTAAGTATGTTCTTGGAAATTTTGTACTGCAATATATTATGGCTTCATTTCCTCCTTTATTTTAAACCTTTGGAATTGCTACAGAAATATTAGTTCTGCCTTTGCACATTTGTGTCTGTATATATATGTCATCTCTTTTTCTTTCTAGTCACTTCTTCATATTAAATGAGACGTCAGTAGAAACTTTTCACTCTTATATCCCACCTATCCCTTCACATGTGTTTTACCTCATCCCTGACTGCAGTATTAAGGCAGATAAAATTTAAAATGGAAACTGTGGAAGAAGATCTCATCTTCCTCCTGATTTCTGCTGTGGAATTTAAAAAATTTATGATTTTATTCAAATGTTTTAATGACAGTTATGAGGTAATAGCTTGAAGCTGGGCTATACCAAGAAAATCTGTAAAGCTGGGGTGGTTGTGGAGTGATTATTGAGTAATTTTTAATTTTATTACGTGTTACATATGCATACTTTTGGTATGTCAGTTGTAGACGTTTTTAAATTATTTTTCTGTCATGGAGTCTCTGACCCTATTAAAAATTGTGCTGGAGTCCTTCCTTGAGAAATGTTTAAATGTGCTCGTCCCTTTTTGAATATATTGGGAACTGGTGAAAATTTGAAGGGCTAAGACCTGGTGGAGGACAGACAGACATTGCTGACAAGCTTCCGTTTTGGTCATGGGCTTACAGTAGGATGAGAGTTGGGAAAAGGGCTAGGCTTTGGTGCAAGACAAAGTGTATAGTCCCAGCGATAGGGGAGCCTTGAAAAGGCTGCCAAGGGAAGGTGAGGGCTGCCAAAAGCTTTCAGTCTTGGGCACTTTTTCTTGGGAGCCATAGCTGACAGCGTCCCTGTTGGACCTGCAGTCTGCCTAGGGTTAAGGTTAGGATGAGTCTTAGACATAGGTGCAAGACAAAGAACAGAGCGCCATTGTTTGTGGGGCTTCGAAGGGGCTGCAAAAGGTAGAGGGGGGCTGCCAAAGCTTTCAGTCCTGGCCACCATTCCTGGGAGCCATTGCTGACAGGGCTCTGTTTTGGACATGGACTTAGGGTAGGATGAGGGTCAGGAAAGGGGTTAGGGTTAGGTGGAAGACAGAGAGCAGAGTCCCAGTGTTAGGGGAGCTTCAAAAAAAGCCACCAAGGTAAGGTGAGGGCTGCCAAAAACATTCAGTCCTGACCATTTTTGCCTAAGAACCATAGAGAATACGTTGTCCTATTAGACCTAGGTTCTGGTTAGGGTTAGTGTGAGGGTAAATCTTAACCATAGGTGTAGGACAAAGAGCAGAGCCCCAGTGTTTGTAGGGCTACAAAGGAACAGCCCAGGGAGCATAAGGACAGACAAAACCTTTCAGTCCATGGCAATCTTCATGGGAGCCATTAGCTAGCAGCATCCCTGTTGGAGCTGGAGTCTGTTAAGGGTTAGGAATTAGACATAGGTTCAAGAGAGAGAGCATAGCCCCAGTATTTATGGGGCTGCAAAGAAGCTGCCAAAGGAATTCAAGGGCTGCCAAAGCTTTCAGACCCAGACACTTTTTCTAGGGAGACATCGCAGGCGATGTTTGTGATGGACCTGTACTCTGCCTAGGGTTGTGATCATGATGTAGGTGATGGTTATGTGCAAGAGCAAACACAGAGCCCCAGTGTTTGACTGTGAAGGGACTGCCAAGGGAAGGTGGGGGCTACCAACACCTTTCATGCCTAGCTACTTCTGTTCAGAGCCCTAGGTGGTTGGAGTCTGTTTTGCAGCTGGGCTCTGGGCAAAGACTGAGGCGTTAGGTGACAGTTAACTGGTAGAGCAACTGCAGAGCCCCAGTGTTAGTGGGTTGGTGAAGGGGCTGCAAAGGGAATGTGAGGGCTGCCAAAAGCTTTCAGTCCTGGCCATTTCTGTGTGAGAGCCCTAGCTAGCAGATGTCGATTTTGAGGCTGATCTCTGAATAGGTTTATGGTTATGGTGTGGGATAGGATTAAGTGCTAGAGCAAGCACAGAGCCCCCAGCATTGGTGGGACTGTGAACAGGCTGCCAAGGGAAGCTCAGAGCTGCCAAAAGGTTTAGTTCTTGGCCACTGCTGTAGCCTACCATACCCAACTTTACCATAAGCCCGTGTCCAAAATGGAGCCTTGCCAAACAATGACTCCCAAGAAAAAGTCCCCAAGAATAAAAACATTTGGCAGCCCTCACCATCCATTGGCAGTCTCTTAAAATAATCTCAAAGAGTATGGATCTATTATTTGTCCTGCACCTAACCCTAACATTAATTCTTTTAATCCTCTCCCTTGTCAGATCACAGGTCAAACGTGGTTATGATAGCTGTGCCTCCCAGGCAAAACTGAGGATTTCTGAATCCATCACCTTTCTGTGGTCTTCCTCTCACAGCTTCGAAACACTTGGGCTCTGTACCATCTCAAGCACCAGACCCCTCACCCTAGGTGGGAGCCCAAATCCAGAATGGACACTCACCATCTAGGGGTCCCATAGAGAGGTGTCCAGGATTGAAAGCTTGTGGTAGCCCTCGCCTTATCTTAGCAGCTTTTTCATGTTCCCTGCTAACAAGCTCTGCACATTGCATTTAACCCTAACAGTAATCCTTTTCCTCATCCTCCTTAAGCTCATGTCCAAAACAGAGCCTTGCCAGCAATGGCCAGCCCAGAGCTGTTAAGACCCAGACTGGGAGCCCAGGAAGTCATAAAGGTTCTGTGATTCCCTCGGGTTATATTAAGGTGAAATGACAGCAAATGACCTGTTAAAATGTTTTATTTGCAGTAGAAACAACTTAAACTTGAAAAGGATAGTAAGCAACTGTATCTCTTACTGATAAATCTATAAGAAAGGAAAGGAAGGAGAGAGGAGGGGAAGGGGCGGGGAGAGGGAGGAGAGAGGAAAGGGGAGAAGAGGGGAGGGGGAAGGGGAGGGGGAGGGGGAGGAGGAGAGGGAGGGGGAGGGAAATGAAAGAAGGAGAGGGAGAGGAAGAGAGGGAGAGAGAGGAGTCCAGGCACCACCCCTCATTCCAGTGTTGTCTCAGGTCCAGAAATCTTGGGTGGTGGATGCACACATAGCAAAGTTTTCTGTCACCTTTTAAGTTCATCTTTATCAGCTGATTAGCCTAGTAGACAAAGGGAAGCAAGTATTCCACAAACTTATTTCCATGGAAGACAAGGAAAGGGTAGAACATGGGTTCTGCATATGCATTGAGGGTGAATGGGGTGCACCAATCCCCTTGTCCAACTGAGTCAGTAGTCATGCTCCCCCCTACCACCTTTCTTCTTCCTCAGTTTTTGCTTCTTGGGTAATTATCTAGCATTTAGCTTATCAGTCTTTTTAGCCTTTCTTGAAGGGTGTAGTCATAAATTAAAGTGTAGGCATTAACCCAGCATCTGCTTTCACTCAGTCTATGTCCCCCCTACTTTGGGGCTTATCTAAGGAATTTGGCAATACAACCAGAAGGGAGTGAAGCTGTGCACGCTTTGATACACTGCACTTCCTTGGGCAGCGTTCCGTAGGCTAATCATGAAGGCCACAGCTCATCCTTGAGGCTTTCTGTGTCAATAAATGTTTGAGGCAACAATTCCTTCAGTTCCTTACACAGGCAAAAATGGGCAAGAAGAGAAAACTGCTGCAGCTCTCACCTTCCCTTGGAAGCCCCTTTGCATCCCCATGAACAATGGGTATTTATACTTCCTCTGCAACCAAACCCTCATCTAAACTCTCACAATAGGCAGAGGACAAATTCAAAACAGACACAGACCAACTATGACTCCCAAAGAGAAGTGGCCTGGGCTGAAAGCTTTTGATAGCCCTCACCTTCCCTTGGCAGCCATTCAAAGCCTCAGAAACATGGCTTTATACTTGTTCTACCACATGAATCTCACCTACACCTTCTACTCAAGCCTGAGACCAGGTCCCTAACATGCACCCAGCAGTCATGTCTCCCAGGCATATGTGGCCCAGACATAAAGCTGTTTCAACCCTCACATTCATGCCACAGCCCCTTTGCATCCTACAAACACTGCAGCTCTGAACATGCTCCACCACCTTACCCTCACCCTCACCTACACCCTCACTGTAGCAAGAACTAAGGAAAACTGAGTCACCAGCGATGTCTCCCACATAGAAAAGGCCATACTGAAAGATTCTGGCAGCCCTCACCTTCCTCTGGCAGCCCCATCCCAGTCCCACAGCCAGAGTCCAGGTTCAAAACACAGACTTGCCAGGTGCCACAGGTGTGGCCACGTTTCACAGTTTAACCCCAGCCAGCAACTAAGCACCACCAGTTACTCCCCCCTCAGTGGAATGGGGGGGAGAAGATGAAGGATAAAAGTGAGAAAGAAACTCATGGGCTAAGATAAAAACAGTTTAATAATAAATAAATAAATTGTAAGGAGAAGAGAAGAAAAAATAACAGAGAGGAAAACTAGAATCCAAGAAAGACAAGTGATGCAAATGAAAAAACTTGTTTACCACTGACCAACAGATGCCCACAGTCCCTGAACAACAGCTCCCCCTGCCAACATCCCCCCCTCCCAGGTTTATTGCTGAGCATGATGTCATATGATATGGAATATCCCTCTGGCCAGTTGGTGTCAGCTGTCCCAACGGAGTCCCTCCCAACTTCTTTTGCACCTCCAACCTACTCATTGTTGGAACAGTATGAGGAGTAGAAGAACTGCTTAGCAGTAACTAAAACATCAGAGTATCAACACTATTTTTAGCACAAATCTAAAATATAGCCCAGTGGAAGCTACTATGAAGAAATTTAACTCTATCCCAGTCAAAACCAGTGCATTCTCCACCCTTTATTCCATACCATTTACACCATGTTGAGGTCCCACACTATCGCAATACATCCTTGTTAACCACCCCTTCTCCTGTAAAATGTTTGTAAAATGTCCATACATATTCATAAAATGTTCATTGCATTCATTTGATCTATGACTTCAGGCTTCATCTGTTTTGGTATTCACTCAGGAGAGAAGAGGTGTTGCGTTTCATGGAGTTACTGGGTACCAAAACCAGTTCAAGCTGTGTCACTGCTGCACTTGCACTGCTTCTTGTGACATTCGTTCCTCATTGGTTCAGGTGTTTTCTGCTGTAATACTTCCTATAACATTCAACTCAAATCATGAGTTACAACAATTTAAAGGTCTCTACCCCTAGTCCTTTTGGACTAGGCCATAATGTTTAATATTACGATGAAGTCCTCCTCTTGCCTCTAGCCTGCCTAGCAGTGAGAGGTTCCTGCTATATATAAGACCTTTGACATACAGCTACCACAGCAGTGGTGACATACAGTATCGTGTAATAGTACCATCTGTGGAATAATTACTAAAATGACCAAAATACAGCACTGTTCCTTGTGGGGGACCTCAGCTGGACTGAGGCCCTGGAAAGGAATAACTTCAACCTTGAAAGGATTCCAAACTACCACTGAGAGAGCAAACAAGAACAAGAGGAGCTGCAAGATGAGCAAGCTTATCGACCACAGTAAGAGAGCATATGAACCAATAAGAAAAGAGACACATCAGAAGAACTGATAACGCTGTACCTGGAAATAGTTTTAGGTGGATAGAG